ATGTGGGAGAAGAATGTGTGTATGAGACCTATTATGAAAAAGCTCACAACAACATTGAAATGACGACTTCAAACAAGTGTCGAAATGAATCGTCCTTCTCAAACGGAGGAAAACTCTATAAGATTGAGAAGTGTCAGATTTCGGCAATTGGAGATGAAAAAGAGTTTGTACAAGTAAAAATACTTGACAGTCTTTATCATGTATATTGTCCAGGAGGAGAGTACTTGGTGGGCAAGAGGAGAGTAAAATGTCCAGACAAAGTATTCACATTGCCATTATCTTTGACATTCACTCTGAACGAGGTTGAATTCAAGGGAAATATATTACGTGTCGTCTATAAAGAGCGAGAAGATCATCTTTTTTCTGAACTCGTAAACTGGCACTTGAATCCGCGAGTCAATTGGAGTCATTTAAGTGAAGACTTAAATGAAATCTGGAACACAAATGACGAACGGATTCAAAAAGAAGCCAGGAATCTGCAGGTGTTCTCATTCAGCGATGACAATTGGACAGCATCAGAAATAACAGTGTTAATTTTAGGGATATTATTTTCACTAGTAGTTTTTCTGTGTGCAATAGTATTTCTTGTCAAGAAATGCAATATGTGTCCTAAACGGATTCAACGCCAAGCTGAGGAGCAGCCTCTCAAGGAGATCAATGGACCAAGCAATCATATTATTATTCATACGTAAATAATTGTTAAAGGGAGTGTTAAAAATAACCCTGATTGTGTATGTTATAATATGAATTATGTCGCTAAATGTGCATCATTGCACATACTTGACCACCTAATATTATGGGTGGATAAATGCATGCATGAAAAGTTGAATGACTTAGATGATGATCTTATATGTATGACAATGAGCTGCGTTTAATAAATCAGTAGCTGAAAATACTCCAACAGTCGAGCATCTCTCTCCTTATATTTTGAACAATTTTCGCATACATATGTCGTTGCACTATGTACGTATGTACAGTACTCTCGGTATAAATAGCGACTATATTTAACCACAAGGATTCAGAGGAGGGCAAAATAATGTATTTTGAGCGAGTTTCTTCATAGGCTTTGGATTTCTGGGGGGTGATATAAAAAGTGACATAAAAAGACAAAATTTTACGAGGAGAAGGCAACAGTCGTACGAAAATAGGGGTTTGTGAAGAAATTAACTTTTTATCGGGGTCAAAATGCATTGTTTTCAAGATTTTTTTAAAATAAGGGTTTTGAGCTTGATAAAAAGTTAGGAAAACCTGTATTTTCGTGTGTATTCTTGATGTAGATTCTTGTCCGTTTTTTCCAGAGTTTAGATTTCCAGGGGTTGTTACACACACAAGAAAAAAACAGAATCTACATGTAGAAGCTATAATCGTAAGAAAATACAGGTTTTCTGAAGAAAATTTCGTCAAGAAATCAAGTTTTTCTCGCTGTCGAAATATATTATTTAAAAAACTCCTCGTGAAAACAATGCCTTTTGATAATGATTAGAAGTTAATTTCTGGACAAACCCTTATTTTCGTGTGATTTTTGCCTTCTCCACGTAGATAGATTTTCGTCTTTTTGTTGGTGTAAGACCCCCGGAAATCCAAAGGTGCTCAAAATATTATACATTTTGAAAAAGTATTTTGCCCACCCCTGCCTTCGAATTATATCATTATTTACTTATATGAATTGCATAATATCCTTCCATTATACACATGAAACGAGCCCTGTTTCGAGTCCAGCAAGCACTTTAAAAGCATTCAAAACCACCTCGTCGACCAGACCACAAAGACCAAAACGACCTACACGACACGCTATTTCCATTTCGTTTAAGTGAAAATAATCCTTTCAATTACATATTTTACTTCATATCAGAGCCTTCCCAGGACTGTAAACCTGCCAAAAATAACTGGTCGTGGTAATTGGTAGTGTAATCAGTGGCCGCGGAAGCTGTGGGGACATCTGGGGAAGGTAACATTGTAGGATAGGGGAGGGGTAAATATAACATGGAAATATGATGGGGACATCGAATAACTGGGGGGACATTGTCCCTCTATCCGCGGTCACTGATTATAATGCAAATAATAAATAGCTTAACACGCAATTTATTTTCGGAACGATATAAAGCTTCAATTTTCGATAGGTTGCGGATCAATGGCCGCGGAATTTAGGACGATGTCCCCACGGCCACTGTATGTACATGCTCCGTTAAGTGATAATAATGCCAAAAAAGAACAGTGACCGCGGAAGCCTGGGTGTGGACAGATGGACAATGTCCCCACGGTTATTCGATGTCGGCATCATCTGCCCATGTTATACAAACCCCTCCCTCCCCCATTCTACAATGTTAACGTCCCCAGATGTCCCCACAGCTTCCGCGGCCACTGGTGAGGACAATGTTCCCAAAGAAGTATGGATTTTCCTGCATTTTTATATCGTCGCCCCACATTTTGTAGTCTTATTGTCCTCAATTTGTAACAATTTAAACCGTGGGGGACATTTTTAAAATGTCCCCCACGGTTGTGCCGACTATGTTTTTCTTCTCGCATTTTTTTCGCCCAGCCAGACAGTTGTAAATCCTCAGAAGTCTCACTTTTTGGTGTGTACGTACGTATTTACTACCATGCATTTTACTACTTTCTCCACCTTTTCCACTTTATTCATACCGGAATAACAGACACGCATCCTCCTAACCCGAATTTAATACTTTTCATCAAACATTCGAAATTCAATCAGGCAGAGAGGAACTTTCTTAAAAAAGAAAGAAGAAACAACTCGTAAAAAAAGTTGGTGGAGAATCGATAATTTTCATTGCCAAATTTTTTAGTAATACTACGTTTCCAAATTTTCAGTATTTCGTTTCTTGCGGGTGGGTGATTTGCTACATGCATTTCTTCCACTGGAAAGCGAAAAATGCAAGAAAAGAAATGCGAGGTGCAAGAAACTGGGAGAAAGTGCCAGAAATATGCACCATCTAGCCACCCGCAGCATGAAGTATTTACAGCGGCGAGGCGTCGTTTTTTGCACCTTGCATTTCTTGCAGGTCAAAACATTTACCTGCAAGAAACCACTTTCTCCCTGTTATTTCTTGCACTTGGCTACTTATACTTGCACCTAAAAACCTGAGTTCTGACTCCCAATCAGTGACCGCGGATGCGTGTGGACAGAGGGACAATGTCCCCACGGTTATTCGATGTCGGCATCATCTCCCCATGTTATATGAACTCTTCCCTCTCCCATCCTACAATGTTAACGTCCCCAAATGTCTACACACCTTCCGCGGCCACTGTACGCAATTCGATTCGAGAAAAAGAAGACGCTCCAAAAAAGTTAAATTGAGACTTGATGCGATCTCGTCTGAACTGGAGATGAATTCAATACACGAATTTTCTCATCTCCAAGTTTTCTTCTCATTTTATGTGTATCTCATTAAAATTCAGGTCGATTTGTACTTATCTCTCACAACTTAATACGTATGTACACACAGTGGCCGCGGAAGCTGTGGGGACAGTGTTATTGTAGGATGGGGGGAGGGAGTGGTTTATATAAGATGGGCAGATGATGCGGACATCGAACAACCGCGGGGACATTGTCCCTCTGTCCCCACCCACGCTTCCGCGGCCACTGTATTTACATATGTACACATTACATTATACATGTTACATAATTTATTTATGTAGGCACATTTATTGCTGTGTTGCCCATTTAATTCTAAATTTCTGGAAGAAAAACCTTCCACGAAGGAAGGAAGTAGGGATCACGAAAAAAAATTTATTTTCTGGAAAAGGAAATCTCAATGTTTGCAGTACATACAAACTTTACACCGTAATCGGTACACTAAATGGGACCAAATGTGAAAAGAAATACCCGGGTATTAAGATATTACTTATGTAAATGCATTAACTCTAATTTCACGGTACATATTTTTTTAATTTCCTTCTGTTCAACTGCTTATTTGGTGATGGAGAGTGTAAAGAAGCTTTCTCCGTGCCTAAGGGGAAATTGAGACACGTAGAGAAATTGGTTTCTCTCAGAAGTCATGATTCGCGATATGCAGAATTTCTCAGTGCCGAAGGGGAAATTGAGACACGTGGCGAATTTCCTTTCTCTCGGAATCCACCATTCGTGATATTCAGAATTTCTGAAGGGGAAGTTGAGACACGTGGCGAAATTCCGTTTTCTGAGAATCCAGCATTTGTGATATTCAGAATTTCCGAAGGGGAATTTGAGACTTTCCACTATTCCTGGTAAGGATACTTTCTCCGGGCTGATAGGGAAGTTGAGACACGAGGCGAAATTATTTTCTCTGAGAATCCACCATTCGTGATATAAGACTTTCCAATGTAGAAGGGGAAATTGAGACGCGTGGCAAAAATGCTTTCTCCCAGAATCCACAATTCTTGATATACAGATTTTCTCCGGTGCCGAGGGGGAAATTGAGACACGAGGCGAAAATCCGTCCTCTCAGTCAGAATCCAATCCACCAACACTTTCCCCGTACCGAAGGGGAAAGTGAGACACCAAGGCGAGCCTACTTTCTCCCAACTTTCTCCCTACATCCAAATCCATCAACCTTGACAAATTCGTTGTATAAAGTGTGCACACTTGTTCTCGGGTGAATGGACTACACAGAATAACAAGGTTCCCTCCCAGCAGTATCCCCTACGGCCTCGTATTGTTCGTTGTTATCTACATGCATGCATTAACGCATTGCCTTTGTTCATTCTGCCTGCCTGCTAAGAAAAACAGGAACCATTCTTGAAACAAGATTAGCTTCTGGTGTGTCGTAAAATTGCCGTGGTGCTCAAAAAAGTCAAAGAAAAGTCGAGGAGAAAGTTTACTCGAGGACTTTTTATTCGCGAAAATCCGCTTAAAAAGAAAGTGGGCGAATATATATAAATTTCCGATTTTACAACCTGTTGGTTTCCAGCTTATACTCGATCCTTTTATAAAAATCGAGCCTTTCTTAACCAGAAAAATTCAAAAAAATGTGTGTAAAGTACGGAAAATCAATCAAAATCGAACCTTGTGAACTTTAAGTTTTTTTTTATTTGTTTACTATTTATTCTTCTTCATCTGCTTCTTTATACGTTCCAAAAATGTACAGAAAAATCAATTTTGCCTCAAATTTATACATTACATTGATCACAAATAATATTACAAATCTTTTACAAGTCAGGAATAAAATTAATTTGACGTGCAGCACATTGTTAATTGTTACGTACACCAAATTAATTAAATATTTTTAAGTAAGGATGCATAAATTAGGGAGTTAGCAAATCTACGTTTTTAAAATTTCTGTAACTTTCCGGGTCAAAATTTCTAAAAACTTCCCTATTTCTTGAATCGGGTCAAAATTTACAAAAATTTCCCACTGTCTTGAGCCAGTTCAAAATTTCCGTCAATTTCCCTGTCTCTTGAATCGGGTAAAAACTTCTAAAAATTTTCCTAACTCGATTCAAAATTTCCAAAAATTTCCGGACACGATCTTGAAATCACTTCTGCCTGAACATTTTTCACCTTCTCTCCGGAAATTTTAACCCAACTCAAGCAGAAAAATTACCCAAATTTTAAAACCGTTAATTTACTAACCCCCCATTACTTCTGGAACATCAAAATAGTCACGTGACGTACATACATACACATTCTTTTTTGAGGTACTGGCTGCATGATAATTACGATCCAAATATTTAAGCTATATCACAATCCGCAATATCAATTTAGAGCGTCATCCGGGCCGTCGTCTTCATCAAGTGCCACCTCCAAAGCCACAATCATAACCCGGTGTACTGCGGGTATTGCAACTGGGTTTGGAACCCACTCGGAGAATTGTACACCTGCTGCGATGCTGACGATGTTGAACTTGACGACGGACGGAAAAACATTCTCGACGCGCGACTCCGCTCCTTCTTCTTCTGATGGATGAAAGTGCTCTCTCTGTAAACACAGACGAAAAAAAAATGTTAGAAAAGGACCCATACAAATAAGTACGATAAGCACTTCGTAGTGTGTACAACGTAATCTGGTTCGAGAGAGAGGATTGGACCACAAATTGGTCCAGATTTCTCAAAGGAAATCCCTCCAACCCAAGACCAAAATAACGAGCAATGCAACGCCAAAGCCAACGGCAACCAAGGTTTTATTGGGGGTCTGTAAACGACGAGGAGTGGAATGCGAGGCGATGCACTATTCAGGGTGAAATGCAGTGGCCGCGGAAGCGTGGGGACAATGCCCCAACGGTTATTCGATGTCCCCATCATGTTGTATACAGCACTTCCTCCCCTGTTAATTCCCCAGATGTCCATATGGCTTCCGCGGCCACTGATAAAGTGGATGGATGGATGGATTTCTATCCTATTTTTTGAGGAGATCGACCGACTTTCTGCCGTGTAAAGAATGATAGTTCCTCTTCTGAGGATGAATTTCTCTACGATTTACTGACAATGGAGGTCTCCCAGCGTATTCTGTCCGATTTTGAGCAAATTAGTGTCAATCGATCATAAATTTAGCTACGATGAAATTTGCGAAAGACGCGATCTCCCAATGGGCACGTTCGGCCGAGATGTTTGCATCGAAAGAGGAGAAAACGCGTCCTAAGGTCGACAAATTTTACACTTTCCGTATTTACTGCGCGTTTTCTCCTCTTCGGATGCAAATATCTCTGCCAAACGTGCCCATTTGGAGATCGCGTCTTTCGCAAATTTCATCCTAACTAAATTTGTCATCGATTGACACTAGTTTGCCCAAAATTCGGATCGCATACGCTGTGGAACCTCCATCCAAGGTGAGGTTGGTCCATATATCTGCTGACTTTGTCTAACTCGTTGCGTCATATATACGTTTTCTCTGTCCTGCTTTCCTTGGTGGGTTGATCCTCTCGATTTCATGGCGGAATTAATCTCGACACCGCGAGAAGTGCACGTGCCTAATAATCCAACCAAATCAGAAGGATGAAAAAGAAAAGCCCTTTTGCCACGATGTGGATTGAGTGGGTATAATGATCAAGGTAAATATATCGGAAGAGACACAGACTTCTTTCTCCGACGCCAAAATGTAGCACCACTCGTGGGGAAGAACCCTTTTTTGGAGGAGGAGGAGGGGTAGGATTGTGCCAGTGCTTCGTTTTTTTGCGGGTTAGCTACATTTCAACGTAAGCAATGCGAGAAATGGGAGGTGGGAGAAACTGGGAGAAAGTGCAAGAATCTAGCCATGTGGTCTGAAGTATAGCGACGGGAAGGAGTTAATTGCGCCTTGCAAAAAACTTGCGAAATTCTTGCAATTTTCATGCAAAACGTTAAGCCTTAATTTCTTTCGTGACTTAATTGTTGACTAGATTTTCGAAAATTTATAACTAAATAGAAATAAACAAACCCAAATTTCATAATTTATCTTAGTCCTCAAGGACGAAATTGCTCAGAAAATCCAAATTCCAGCCTAGCAGTTTTCTGCGAAATTGCTACATTTTTTGCACTGCAACACAAGAAATGCAAGAAATGTGCGCCATCTAACCACGCCTTGCATTTCTCACAGGTCAACCTATTCCCCTGCAAGAAACCACTTTCTCCCCCCCTATTTCTTGCACGTCATTACTTTTACTCGACCCCGAAGCACTGATTGGATGCACATCCACTTCACCGAGTCTCGCCAGATTCACGAGGTAATTTTGGAATAAAGATTGATGACGGTTATCTAACCAAGAAAGACCAAGAGCGGAACACGGGTAATGATGATGACGACGATGGTTGCCTGACTGGTCGGAACCAACCACCTGAAAAGGTTACATAGGCGCCCTGAACCTTATCCAAATCCGCATCCGTATCCACCTTTTGTGCACCGAGTGAAGAGGAATAATTGAAAATTTTATCTACTTATGTATGAAACGAAATTGATGAAAAGCACGTGCATAATCTGAGAGAAAATTACATTTTTTCTTCTTTTTTCTTTACATACAAAGAGACCAAAAATTGTACATCCTGCCTTAAAATTAACTATTTACATGTTATATGCACGTTGGCGGAGGTACGTGCATAATTGAATCAGGAAGGATGAACCACCACAAGTACGAAGATACGTAATTGACGTACCGTAAAAGTTTCTAGTTGTGACCGGGGAATATTGCCAAAATTTTGATAGCAAGCCCAAACATTTATGATGGACTTCAAATATCTACAGTGTCGGACAGATGTCTACGTCCACATAGTCGCGTCAATTTCATTTTCAAATTGTCACTGAACTACTGAACCAATTTTCATCATTGATATATCAAATTCTCACAAATTTAACGTAATTTCATAGCACATTATTAGTTTTCCGCTAAAAAATTTATTTTAGGCCAGAGATGTATTTTAATTCAAAATGAAAACAATTGGATGGACAAAAGTCAACGTCCAGTAAGAGAAAACATACAAAAAAAAACTGTAATTTATAAGGAATGTTATAACAATTAATTTTTAATATTTGGTTGGGCCTCCGTTCGCTTTAAGGACGGCTTCAAGGCGTCGAGTCATTGAGTTTACCAAATTCTTGGTCACATCTTCAGAAATGGTTTCCCAAACTTCACGAATTCTGGATTTAAGGCCCGGAATTCCTGAAAAAGATTGTTTTCTTATTTCTCTTTCAATGTGGTCCCACAGATGCTCAATGGGATTCAAGTCTGGAGATTGGGGAGGCCATTCTAGCTTCGAAATTTTTTTTTCTTGAATTATTCCATGGTGTACGTGGCAGAGTGTTTCGGATCGTTGTCTTGTTGGAAGACAAATCGTCGTCCAAGTCCAAGTTTTCGAACAGATTCCTGGATATTACGGTCAAGTATTCCCTGGTACCTGTATTGGTCCATAATTCCGTCAACAAATTCCATTTTTCCTGCCCCACTTGAAGCCATGCATCCCCACACCATTACCGACCCGCCGCCGTGCTTAACTGTGGGGTTGAGATTTTTTGGATTCAAAGCTTCTTTTGGATACCTCCACACTCTACGACGCCCATCTGACCCACAGACATTGAACTTTGACTCGTCAGTCCATAAAATATGTCCCAGAATGTTTGTGGCTTGGAAATGTGGTCTCTGGCAAACTTCACTCGTTTGGTTGCATTCCTCGGTACAATAAGAGGCTTCCGGACTGCTCTGTGGGATTTCAAATTTCCCTTGTTCAGTGTTCTTTGGATGGTCCTAGGACTAACTTGTTTGTCGAACATCTCCTTGATCTCGGTAGATAGCTTTGGAGCACTAAGTGAGGGTGTAACGTTGACTTTGTTGAGCACGTGGCGTACTTCTCGGTGAGCCAAAATGGGTTTTCGACCACTTCTGACCTTGTTTTGGACTGAACCATTAGCTTTAAAGTTCTTAATGATTGTCTGGATGGTTGTCCTTGCTAATTTATACTTGGTCCATATTTGTCTCTGCGACAGCCCCCTTTTTGTCCACCCTTCCAGTCCTGAATGACAAGATCTCGAATAGCGATAGGAATTTCCTTGCGTGTCGACGCCATCATATTTTTCTGGAAGAAAATTATTTAAAAATTAATGCGGCATATGTTATTGATAGATTTATTAAGTTACCTGATTTTATAAATTGGAGAGATTTTTGTTGTTGACAATTAAAGTGAAGTGGACGTAGACTTTTGTCCGCTCAAATTTCATCCTCTCTCGCTCTGCACTATGATTCTCAGTTTTCCCAGAATTTTCAGAAATAACTCATATGTTTTATGAAATTACGTTAAATTTGTGAGAATTTGATATATCAATGATGAAAATTGGTTCAGTAGTTCAGTGACAATTTGAAAATGAAATTGACGCGACTATGTGGACGTAGACATCTGTCCGACACTGTAATATTTTACGGTAACAGTTTGGCATGGAGTGAATGAACAACTAGAGATACCAGCATATATAACATGCGTACCGTAAAACCTCTGTTTTTGACCGGGGGGAACATTGCCCAGATTTAGCTTGTAAGCCTAACAAATCTATGTTTTTAATGGGACGGACCGTATTGTAAGGTGAGCAACAGTGGCCGCGGAAGCGTGGGTGGCGACAGAGGGACAATGCCCCCACGGTTATTCGATGTCCCCATCATCTGCCCATCTTATATAAACCCCTCCCTCCCCCTATCCTACAATGTTAACGTCCCCACATGTCCCCACCGCTTCCGCGGCCACTGACCCTACGTATGCAAATAGGATTTTACGGTAAATGTGTATCTAATCTAACTACCATTTGGCGTGGATTTTTCTAAAGAAAAAAAGCATACAAAGAACATGCTCGCCTTCTTTCTCCACCCGTCTTTATTAATAACTTGCCTATGCAGCCATGAGTCGAACATCAAAGGGAGGACGAATTAGCTAATCCACTTAAAAGACAGTCAGTCAGTAACTAGTAACAAGTATAAGAACATAATCTCGCATAATTCCCAAAGGCAGCACAGACAGAAGAACACCGCTAATAAGTGTACAGCTCAACTAATATGTATAAATATATGCATAATAGGTGGATCGTGAAACTGCAACGGCGACGACCATCCTCTCAAATTATACCAAGATCACCCCCACCAGTGGCCGCGGAAGCGGTGGGGACATCGGGGGACGTTAACATTGTAGGATAAGGGGAGGGAGTGGTTTATATCAGATGGGCAGATGATGCGGACATCGAACAACCGTGGGGAAATTGTTCCTCTGTCCACACACACACTTCCGCGGCCACTGCATAAAGACATGTTACCCTTGTGTAATCAGTGGCCGCGGAAGCTGTGGGGACATCGGGGCAATTAAAATTGTAGGATAGGGGGGGGGGATGGGTTTGTATAAGATGGGGAGATTATGGGGCCATCGAACAACGGTGGGGACATTGTCCCCCTGTCCACACCCTCAAGCTTCCGCGGCCACTGACTCCCACCCACCACCTCCACCTCCAAACCCCGTCTGCATGTACTGTCAAGATCAAAGTTAACAAATCCGAAATTCAACACGCCCATAAATTGGTGTACAAATTGGCATAATTTCTTAATCGAAACGTTACATACATCCATTCAGTATTATTAGAAGGATCATGCTCCACGAGGACGGGAACTTGTTCCGGTTAATTAAATTCCCCCTCTCGAAAACAAAATTAAGTACAAATTGCATTGAAAAATGGGGAAAAATTGGACAAATTAATAAGTAAACGGTACATAAATCAAGGCCAGAGACGAAGGAATGGCGACGACTTAATCTGATTGTCTCTTTCATAATGAATAAGTAGCTTTTCTTCCCCAGGGTCACATTATGTTTTTGCCTACTCCGCATCGCATCGCATTCTCCTCCTCAAAATTACAAATTGGGCACACCAATATCTTGTTTCTTGCTGCGGGTTTGCCAAATTTTTTGCACTGCACAGCAAGGAACATACCTGTTCACTTTCATTCATTTGACTCATTATGATAGTGAATGAAAAAGAAATTTCTGTCATTGGAATGAAAATGACTGAAAGATTCCGTCATTTCAGATGAATGACTGTGAATGAAAGAATTTTTAACTCATTTCATTGTTCACCCTATGCTTAATACATGGGGCGAGTAAGAAATGAAGTCAGATGAAGTGAAATGAAATGAAATGAATTTGAACAAAAATGACTGAATGTAAATGACAATCTTCAGTCAGAAATCGGGATGACTGACTTTTGAATGAAAACTAAATTTTTGAACAGGTATGGTAAGAAAGTGCAAAAAACTGCCAGAAAAATGCACCATCTGGCCACGCGCCGGATGAAATATAACGGCGTGGCGTCATTTCTTGCGCCTTGCATTTCTTTATAGGTCAAAATATTCAGCTGCAAGAAGCAACTTTCTTCCCGTTATTCCTTGAAAGTGGTTGGTTAATTCCACCCGAAATACTGCTACCAAAGTTTTCTTGATTTCTTCTTACCCAAAAAATGGAAATATCGAGATGAGCAAGTTCTTATCGGGATGCGCGGCCAGAATTGAGTTTGACTGGAGCGTATGATTAATCACTTTACGAAGGTATTCTTGCAATTTTCGCCGCCTCTCGTCCACAAATTTGCCATCCTGCATGGAACAACACGTAACATGATTAATTATCATTAATTAAATTGTGCAATTTAATTGATTAATTAATTTACCTTGTTGCCTAAATGTTTCTTTGGTGGGAAGTAAAAGCTGCCGATGGTGGAGTCTCGCTTTTTCAAATCGCGGTGTAAACTGTAAAATTGTGAGTAGCGACGGTACACGTTCCACTCGGTGTCCTTTATCCGGATAAATACCTGCAAAACGTTAGACAGTAAATATTTAGAAAACTTCTTCAAAAACAAGAAAAACACGACAGACAACAAGTGCTATTACTTTGTCGTTTTTGACCTTGCAGCGTTTTGTCGAGTGTTTCGGGTGCAAGGAAAGTAACCACTTGCAAGAAATAAGGGGAAAGAAAGTGGTTTCTGGCAGGTAAATATTTTGAACCTGGGAGAAATGCAAGGCGCGAGAAAGTACGCCCCGCCGCGAAAAATATTTTATATGGCGCGTGGCTCGATGGCGCTTATTTCTTGCACTTTCTCCCAGTTTCTTGCACCTCGAATTCCTTGCGTTGCTGGGACAAACCCGCAAGAAATGAAACTCATTGGTCATATTTTTTCATGGTTTGTCCATATTTTTGCCATGATTTCGTCACAATTTGACCATATTTTTGTAATCGCATGAAACGAAACACTGATTTCATCCCTAGACACGCATTTTCCTTCTCAAGCCCTCTTTACCTAAATGTGCTTACTTTCACTCTCGCACAACAAACAATTCCCAATTAACTCAGAGAGACCCCGAGAGGCAAAAGCAAAAGCAGCCACATTGGCCCATTACTTATTAAATCAGTGGTCGCGGACAGAGGGACAATGTCCCCACGGTTATTCGATGTCCCCATCATCTCCCCATGTTATACAAACCCATCCCTCCAATTTTAATGTCCCCACAGCTTCCGCGACCACTGTTAAACACAATACAACCATGCCCAACAGCTAATAATATCCTTCAAGCAACAGAACCAACTCTTGTCCCACTCTTGTCCCGAGCTCGTCAAATCCAAGTGCTCATCAAACATCAAAGGAAACAAAAGTTGCACAAAAGCGGAGCATTTTCAGAAATCTATTTTATTCAAGGACGACAATACGTACTTTGTAAAAACGCTTTGACAAAGATCACTGTTCGGAGGAGAAGGGAAGGGAACAATGGGTACGAACGATTCAGAGAAATACGTAAGTACATCAATGAGATGAGTAAATTTAATATGAAAAGTTGACCAAGTTTCGGGATCAGCTAACAGAACGTAAATTAGGCTCATTCTTTGAAATCGTATTCCGTATACAGTGCGCACTACTCGTGGAGGATCAGAGGGTGGATATGTATTTACGAAAAATGGGTGAAATATGTATTTAATATTTCCAAAAAAATGTGGAAATTGGAAATATTCACAAAATATTTACGAAAAAGATAAAAGTAAGGATTTTCGCAGAATTTACATTTCTGAATTTAATGCTCTGGATTTTTTTGTGAGCCAATTTCTTTAAACAAAAAAAATCGTCTTGCATCATTAAAAAATATGTATACTTCTAAAAAAATATGTTAAAAATTTACGTATTTTTGAAATAATAGTGGAAATATATGTCTAAATATGTACATGTCTACATAGAATTATGTTCCAATATGTAAAAAATATTTCGAAATTTTAGTGATGTAGACGAGTAAGGGTAACACACCCACAAATTTCGAAATCATTTAATGATTTCCATTTTTCAAATAATAGCGGAAATACGCTAGCAATATTTTGAAATTTTTGTGATCTACACGAGTTTGGAAACACACCCACAAAGATTGACTGTCGATCGTCATCAAATGAAAAAATCGAAGCTACATACATATCCGCCCTCTGAACATGATTCATTCAGTGTGAATAATTAATAACGACATCTAAAAATTTTCCGTGAATCCCTAAATTATTCTAGTCTACTCTACACCCACCTGATACACGTGGTGGAGATCGGTATTCGCTCCGGTGAGAAAAGCCGACGGGATCCAGATATTGATGAGGACGCGTTCATTATGCGTGAGATGAATTTGTCTCCTTTGTCCCCCCGCGGAGGAAAGCGGACTTCCGATCCCCAAAAGACCACTGTTTCCGCCCAAACTCTCCTCCGTCGAATTCGCCGAGGCAGAATCAACGATGTCCCAAGAACCGTCGTCGAAACCGGTGTCGTCGCCAGGTCCGCCGAGCAACGGGGCGGACAGGGGTCCCCGCAAGTCGACGAGTTCTTCGCGCAAGCGACGAATGACGAGGTCCCTTTTGCGAAGGGAGGTTTGTAAATGAGCGTTAAATTCCATGAGTTCGCCATGCATTTCTGCGACTTGGATGAGTTTTCGCTCGTACTCGGCGCCCTCGTTGTCGGCGGCGGCGGGAGATTCGTCTAAAAAGAAGATAAGGAAATAATTAGTTAGGTTTCGAAATTTAGGTTTCGAAATTTTGGTATTTTTTGTATTTTAGATGGACAACTGTGGGCTCGATTTCTTTTTTTTCTAAACGGGAACAAACTCAACAAAGTCCTAGGAAAATTCCCGTAAACGGGCTCTAAAAAAGTGGAGTCGACCCCCGGTTTCCCGGAAAAAACGTGTTATCGAACCCACGTCGACATTCGACAACCTTCAGACGCCATTTCGACTGACTATCGCGAACATATTTATGTGTGTGCAGATCCGATCAATATTTTTTGCACTAAATAAATCGGCAACAGCTCCTACTAAATATTTCGCTAATCTCGAATCCAGACTAAAATTCATACTTAATATTCATTCGTTCCATCTACGATAGATACAGCATACATCATGATCCGTTCGTGTGCCAGATGCATTTGCCACTCAAATTTATCTATCTGCACAACAATGCAGCTCATTCACCAGTGTCACCTGCCAAGGCTGTTTGTGATGAGTAAAAAAAAGAATGAGCAGCAAAAAGTATGTGTAATCTTTGTCATCAATAAAAAATATGGAGAATGGAGGTCTCCCAGCGTATGCGATCCGAATTTTGAGCAAATTAGTGTCAATTGATGACAAATTTAATTAGGATGAAGATTAATTAGGATTTGCAAAAGACACGTAATGACTACCAATGGGTACATTTGGCCGAGATATTTGCATCCGGAGAGGAGAAAACGCGCAGTAGAAAGTGTAAAATTTGTCAACTTTAGGCCCGTTTTCTCCTCTAGTATTTCAAAAAAACATAAAAATGGGATTTATTAACGCCGCAAAAAACATTTTCTGAATTTTTTAAGTAGAAATCATGTTACAGATACATGATAATGGTTGAATGAGTAGAGGAGAAAACACTCAGTAAATTTGGAAAGTGTAAAATTTGTCGACTTTAAGCCGCATTTTCTCCTCTTCGGATGCAAATATCTGCGCGAAACGTGCCCATTGGGAGATCTTATCTTTCGCACATTCTAATTAAATTTGTCATCGATTCACACTAGTTTGTCGGAGAGCATCCGCTGGTAGACCTCCATTCTGAGTAAAATAGCAGCTCTAATCCTAATCTTAATCCAACCACTTAACAAGACTCCTTGCACAATAAGATCAATACATAAATATTTCTGCACTCACTGATGATATGTCCACCTCCTCCTCCTCCTAAAATATGTTCATCATCCTCCTCAAAACTGCTGCCCCTTCTCCCCAAGGCACGCCCTCCTTGACCCGTCCGTTCCTTTTTGAGTAGCTGCACCGCTCCGATATACTTATTCAGTTGATGCTTCAGAATTTCATTCTCGTTTCCCAGAGATTCGACCCGAGCCTCCAGAATTTTCACGGTGTCGGTCGACTTCCTCTTTTCATCAGCCAGTTGAGCCTGGAGTGTGGCAACGGTTTCAATTTCACGGTCCAAGATAGCCTTCAATTTTATGATGCGTTCTTCATCCGCGCCGCTCGCGGTGGAAATCCGCGCATCGATCTCGCTCGCCGTCATGTTCATATCTGTTCAAAAATTTAAGTTTCATTCAAAATCTCGATTTCTGAGTGAAGATTTTCATTCATACACATGTCATTTTCGTTCAAATTCATTTCATTTCACTTCATCTTACTTCATTTCGTACTTCGCCCTATGTATTAAGCACAGGGTGAAAAATGAAATGAGTGAGAATCTTTCATTCACAGTCATTCATCTGAAATGACGGAATCCTTCAGTCATTTTCATTCTAGTGACAGGAATTTCATTTTCATTTAGGATCAGTCAAATGAATGAAAGTGAACAGATATGGTCATATATATTTGAGACGGGACCTTTTCCACTGTGGTGACGATGAGTTCGCGACGACGAGACGGGTTCGGACGCGTAACTCGGCGTTGTCGCGCCCGGACTGGGACTCAAATCCGCAGCGGCGGCGGACATGTCCAAATCGATTTGTAACTCGGGTGCGACTCTTCTGCTCGTTTCGGGATCGAAATTCGGGACCGGGATCAAATTCAAGTCTTGGGAGGAGGAGTCGTTATTGGGGTCGGAATCGGTTCCTGTTCCGCCAGTACCACCACCACCACCGCTGCTACTTCCTCCGTCATCCCGACCACTCGTCCCGGCACGGTCTCGGACAGGTTTTAATCGCTGTGAGGGGGAGATATTGCCAAAACTGAGGTCACCACCAACCCCCATGGTCATTACGTTCTCGAGATCGACACGTTCCGAACAATCGGAATAGATGGAGTTGACCGATATGCAATCGGCAGATTTGACGGAGGAGGAATACACCGAGATTTCGGGGAGGGAGGAGTCTTCAAGGTAGTTTTGATGAGATTGAAGTCCACAAGAAGTCGAAGCGGAGGAAGGCGTTCTGCTGGCGATAATTTGTACTGGGGAGGTGGCGCTGTTCACTAATTTGTGGGGGGTTGGGGTTGTCGGCGTAGGCGTGGGGGTGGTAGCTGTGCTCGTGCTGGAACTGTGGTGCTGTGGGGGACTTGTGGAGTTTCGGTCGTCGTGAGTTTTTGAAGGGGTGGTGCTGGTTGTGCTCTTTTTTGTGGCGGCGTCATTATTTCCATCGTCATCGAACGAGACGACGTTGACGTGGGGCTTCTTCTTCTTTTTACCAAGGGAGAGATTGGGGCGTCTTTGGTTTGGGGTGGTGGAGCAGTCAGCGGCGGCGGCTTGGTCTTTTTTCAACGCGGCGAGAAATTGATCAGCAACTTCGGCCACTTCGACGGGACTGGCGACGGCGTCTTCTTTCTGAAAGGGGAAGAGAAGGAATAAAAATGTGTAAAAGTTGATGCAGCCAATTTATTTTTAACGTTGAGAAGAGCTGAGTAAAAATATGGATGGAATTTTGCACAGTTTTTTGGTAGAAATTTAACCCCGATTACTCTCATTCTGCACAACAAGTGATGTGATTTTGAAACTCTGCGATGCAAAATCGGGAGGACAGTTCTAAAAGTCACTTTCTCATTTACATGTTTTACAGCATTCGCCAAAGATATAGCGTAAAGTTAACATGTGAAGTCTGTATGATATAAAATTGATGTAAATGAGGTGACTGGAAATATAAATCTTCTTTCAGAACGTTCCATGCATAAGTATAGGACGATCTATAAGATTACCTCAAGGTCAAACACCTCACCTGCTCTAGAATTTCAAGATCGTCCTATACTTATGCATGGAACGTTCTGAAAGATTTTTATTTCCAGTCACCTCATTCACATTTTTATATTGCGCCTTTCCCATCATACGGACCTCACACATTAACTTTACGCCATGTCTTTGGCCAACGCGTCAAAACATGTAAATGTGAAATTAACTTCTATATCTGCCAATATATAATAGCCAGTAATCCGTCAGTTCACCCATTTTGCGTCCTACAATTTCAAAATCACGTCGCTTGTTGTGCAGAATGAGAGGAATCGGGGTCAAAGTGGTCACATTTCTAGCAAAAACTGCATAATTTCATTCCAAAAAGTATGCCATATTTATTTACTTACGGATATTGTAGGCCGAACCCAACAATCTAAAAGTGGGTTATCAACGACTAAAGCGAATAGTACAGATCCCAAACCCGCCGCTGTATGGGGTAGAATCGTGGAGAGTTCGGGATCTCGGAGAAACGCCCACGTTTCATAATAACTGGGCAGCGTGTCGAGCGAGAGGATAATTAAGATGTAGCGTTCCAACGAGTGCTCATTTAACGATGAGCGTAACCAGGCCCGTGCTCGGCCATGATCTGTGCGGACATTGTGCAGGAGAAGGAATCGCTCGGCGTCGTGTTTTGAAAGTTGTGACTTTATCAAAGGCCAGTACGAGGGATGTTCGGTGGGGAGGCGAAGTCCGGTTTGGACCTGATAAGTAAATTAATACATATATTATAAATTATAATATACTTTATAATTATTGACATAATTAACGTAGGACTCGATGACTCAATGCCAAAATCGTCAAAATCAGGAGATTTTTAATCATTTATCGCCTCTGGGAATTTATTTTATAATTCTGGACGACGAATTTTTAGAGCGTAGGTCGTTGCCAATTTAAAAAAAAAATTGACACTCCAGATTTTGATATTTTTTGAAGGAGGAGATCTCAAGGTTAAGAAGCCTTCAGAAAAATTGGAACTCATCTAAACTGCCTCAAAAAACTCATCGCCATTCCATTAATCAACTCACTGACTGTAAATTCGTCGTCCAGAATTTTAAAATAAGTTCCCAGAGCTGAGAAACGATTAAAAATGTGCTGGTTTTAACGATTTTAGCGATGAGTCAACCTTAATTAACTTGACCATTAATTTATAAAAAATATTTACAAAGTTTTCCGTCATTTGCCACAAGCTGCGCCCCTTTTCTGGAAGTTTTGCCCCGTGGAGGAACACATCTTCGAATGCGATGCACAATTTACGCACGGTTTCTTCATCCTCCGTGGCCAATTCGGTCCTAGATCCAAACCGACTTTGACACCCTTTCACCCCGTCCAACAGCTTGGAGAGGAGTTGATCCTTCGGGATGGGATTCATCGTAAAAATTCAGAATTCTTAAATATTTTTGATTATTTCTTTGGCACAATAAATGAAATAGTCCGGTTTGTCTTCTGTTCTTCTCGATTGGACGGAGCTACATATGTCTTTGGCTTGTCTTTCATAAGTGAGTTAGTAATAATACTGCGGAGAATCAGGATCCATTATAAATTCTACAATTAAAAAGAAACACAAATAATTACATGTTCATTCCTCGTGATTATCAATAAAATTATAAAATACTGCGTACTTTTTCTTCTCTCGAGATCAATTCATGCAATGAGGACAGAAGACCACCTTATCTTTTGTACTAATTTAGTTAGTACTGGTAATAAACAGACCCCTCAAAAATAGAGTTAGTTGACAATCTAGAAACAATATTTTAACAAGGGGTTAAATTAAATACAAACATTCTTCCTCACCTCATACAATTATACTCTTATTAATAAATCTTACCAAGTTTACCAGACTCAAGAATCAACAGTAAGTACAAAATACATTTTCTTGCTTATCTTGCTTGTTGTTTGCTTTCTTTGTGTTATCCTGAAAATAAATGGAAGGAAATCAAACATGTTAACTTGTTTACTTATAATGAGATCATATTTATATGGAAAAGCTTACAGCACATCCAACACAATATACGTCTTACTTAATTAAGTAACTCTTCATTTAAGAAGTAGATTAATAACTTAACTAACTAACAATAATTCATGACGAAAGGTTAAAAAGTCACTGGATGAATTCTTCGTCATTACTTAAGTCACAGATTTATTTAACTAATAGTCCAACCAATCCACCCTCTTTTTCCACTCATTTTCCACTCCACTCATTTAACTTATTTAACTAACTAACATTACAACCCATGAAATGTTATTAAATGTGATTAACATTAAAATTAACACAAATCTGGCACAAAACCCGTTACAAAAAATTTCCAATTTTTGACTTCCCACTGTACTCGATGGCAAATTCGCAAGTAGCTCCAAATTCTTCCTCTTTCATCTTTCCAACTGCATACAAAGGGCATAAATTGTGACCCAATTTATTTTTAGGATGTTCATAAATTCCTCGTTTTTCATAAAATTTGATAAAATTCATACATCACTTTCGAAATATGGCCAAATTTTGGAGAAGAAGAGAGCTCGCAATGAAATCAAATGGCTAAATCCTGCGCCTCCACCACGTTTCTCGTCTCAAGCGATCCGCCATGCATTCACTCATTGCTCTTCCATCCACGGAGAGAAGGTGAGTTGGTCGGTTGGTTTTTTAATTTTAATTAAAATTAATACTTAATTGTGGTTGGAATTAGTAAAATTTTGATATTTTGTAAACTACTAGTAGTGCTGAACATAAGGTTGGTTTTGGTTTTGCAGAAAGACGTGAATTAAGAGTGATATAACAGCGAAAAGATGGGTCGTCGGCCGGCAAGATGGTGAGTAATTGTAAAACGTTTTTTTAAAGTATTTGTGAATGTTGAGTTAAGTGGTTATCAAGGGTGGTGGGCAAAATACTTTGTTAAATAGAGTGTTTGGAGCTCTGTTCTTTGCAGGGTTTGGATTTCCGGGGGTGTTTCACCCACAAAAAAGAGGAGTCGTACGAAAATGTAGGTTTTGTGAACAAATTAACTTTTTTATCGGGGTCTATCTTATCGATTAAAAGTTAATTTCTTCACAGAACCTGTATTTTTGTATAACTTCTGTCTCCTCCACATAGATTATCGTTGTTTTGTGGGTGTAACAGACCTGGAAATCCAAACACTGTAAATAATGGAGCTCTAAATTACTGTATTTTGCCAACCCCTGGTGGATATCGAGAGGGAGGATGATATTGCACTTCCCTCGGCGTTTTCTCACTGTGAGACTTTGCCAGAATATTAGTGCAGAAATTATACAAAATAACCCATTTGTCGCCTTCCTCGCTGTTTTTTAATACGGAACGGAAGTGAAACAAGTGGGAACAGTTAATTGAACAACTAATTAATTCCTTCATTAGCTAACTTATCTTTTCTCCTCACAGTTACCGGTACTGTAAGAATAAGCCGTACCCAAAATCTCGTTTCTGTCGGGGAGTTCCAGACCCCAAGATTCGAATTTTCGACCTGGGCAAGAAGAAGGGACGTGTGGACGACTTTCCACTCTGCATCCATTTGGTGTCCGATGAGTATGAGCAGCTGTCCTCCGAGGCGTTGGAGGCTGGTCGTATTTGTTGCAACAAGTACCTCGTCAAGTCCGCGGGGAAGGATCAGTTCCACATTAGGATGCGACTCCACCCCTTCCACGTACTCAGGATCAACAAGATGTTGTCCTGCGCTGGGGCTGATAGGTGAGAAGCAACTAATTAACAGTACCAAAATTGTAAAATCAGCACGGTTTAATTATTTCTCTCCTCTGGGAATTTATTTTAAAATTCTGGACGACAAATTTGCCGTCAGTGAGTTGATTAATAGAATGGCGTCGAGTTTTATGGGCCACTTTCGACCAGTTCCAATTTTTCTGAAGGCTTCTTAAACTTGAGATCTCCTCCTTCAAAAAGTGTAAAAATCTGAAGTGTATATTTATAGAAAATTTGAAATGACCTGCTCTACAAATTTGTCGTCTCACTGACGACAAATTAATCGTTCAGAATTTTAAAATAAATTCCCAGACGCGAGAAATGATTAAAATGTGATGATTTTGACAATTTGGGCGATGAGTCCTACGCTAAATTATTCATCTATTAGAAAGAAACTAATTTACATTTATATTACTAATTTAGGCTCCAAACTGGAATGAGAGGTGCTTTCGGCAAACCTCTCGGAACCGTGGCTCGCGTTCAAATCGGACAACCCATCATGAGCGTCCGAACTCTGGACAAACATAAGCCCCACGTCATCGAGGCTCTCCGGCGAGCAAAGTTCAAGTTCCCAGGACGTCAGAAGGTAACTAATCAATTAAATAATAATTAATGTCATATCATCATCACTAATTTTTTCCTCTCTTTCTCTTTTAGATCTTCGTCTCCAAGAAGTGGGGCTTCACCAAGTTTGAGCGACCCGAGTATGAGCGCCTCAAGAGCGAAGGACGCCTCGCCCCGGACGGTTGCAACGTCCAATACCGCGCCGAACATGGTCCTCTCAACGCCTGGAAGAAGGTTCAACAAGAGTTGGCTGGAGTGGTTTAAAAAAGTCTAAAAATTTTGATAACTGGTTAAAAAAATATCAATAATTCTTTCTATTCCAATCCAACCAAACCATGAAAATAAGTTCGACTCTGTATGTGAGGGGTGTATATTGTCAGTATTGTTATCCTACGAGAAGAATAGTGTCAATAAAATCGCTCACATTTATGAACCGAACAATTCAAGCGGTGTTTGTCATCATGAATTAATTACGATCCGCGCAGGTGTTTGTAAATCATGAGCAAATAATGACATTGTTTAATTAATTGGCATGAATTGAAGTTCAATTATTGAGCCAGGAGCATGTAATAGCGAAAAGTGGTGTCAGTCGTCAGCATGAATGACTCAGGGAAATTGCCATCCGTTTTGCATTTTAATTATTTTAAGGTATTTCCGGGTTTGTGGTTTTATATTTTTGTGATAAAATAATGGTTAACTTTGCATAAATAGAGTACAAGTTAGTTAAATAAGTTGCTATTTTAAGTGTGTAGTTAACTAATTGCATTTAAAAATGACCCTGGTTGGTCTTGGCCTGCCCATGATTCCGGACAACAACGCCCGGCCCACGGTATGCGCGAGATCCGCTACCACCACGCCGAGCAGGCCCCCGTCAACCTTAGCAATTCGGCCACATACTTACGCAATTGGAAAAGTTCCGGCATGCTGTAAGTAAATTTGGAAATTTCATAAAATTCATTTCCTAAAAATTTATAAAAAATTGTTTCATTTGTACAGTTTTTGAACTCTTGAAACAAATACCTATCGCCATTCCAGTGCGATGTTCCGATCCGACGGGAATTATCCGGTTGTCACTTCACATCCCATCGTCAAGTGAGGTCGACACTCCTGAAGGTCATGACCTTGACGGTGACACTGACAAAGACGACACCCTAGAACAACGCCTCTTAACGAATCGACGTCTGCTCGAGTCCCGAATAAAAAGTCTCCGCTTGGAAATTGGGGATTTGAGCGTGGCTGAAAACTTGGAGAAATTATGCAACCATTACTTCCATTTGGATAAGAACAACCCCAACAAAGAGAGGAGTGACGAGTTTAACAGGAAATTAGACATGTTGCTCAACGAGAAATGTGGTGGGGAGAGGAAATCATGTCATGAAAAGTGGGATGCGTCCACGTCGCATGAAAAAATTGGTAGGAAATTTTATGACCAGTTTTTTATGCAAAATTATGACAATTTTTGTTAATCAAATTCAGATCCGATTCGTGGCCATGAACCTAGTAAACTCGTCACCTTTGACCTCAACGCACAAAAAAGTGACGATGATGACGATGTCAAAACTTCTCGACACTCGTCCGGATTTGGTCTCATTTTCCACGGTCTACTTTCTAAGAAAGAGACGCAAAATTTACTCAGGATCGATGGCCAGTACCTGATTCGACATGTGCTCGGAGAGGAAGCGTATATTCTCAGCTTCCGGTCCGTAATTAATTTCTTGTCCCATCATTTTAAAATACATAGATATGTTCTTATCTAAATAGAAATCTGTACGTATTTCAGATGCAACGGAATCATCCAGAACTTTAGAATATTTAAGGATTCCGAATTCTACGACTTGTTCTATCTCGAGGATCGTAAAGCTAGTTATGCATCGTTGGACGAGATGGTCAATGATGGATTGAGAACGCTGTTCCTCAACTTTAGAGTAAATAAATTACAAAATTTCCACTTTCTGTAACATTCATGTCATAAAAAAAATCCAATATGCAGTTAGCAAAACTAATCCAAAGTTTTTAAATTTCCGTAACTCTCTTGAGTTATATCAAAAATTCCCAGTGCCATTTTGAAATCACTATTGAGAACACTTTTCATATGGTCTTCAGAAATTTTGACCCAATTCATGAGGCAGGGAAAGTTACGGAAATTTTAAAAGCGTAGTTTTATTAATTGTCTGCTACATATTTCACGTTGATCAAATTCCAGGCTGGCTCATACGTTGACACTTTGACCGAATTGGCCCAAATTAATAAGCACGACAGCATGATTTCCTGGTTGACCTCGTCCTCTCCGACCTCTCTGAACAGTCCGGATTCTCGGGCTAGCATTTACATCGGATCGTCGCGAAGGCCATCGGTAAATCCGCATCCAAACCAAGGTCAAAGTCAAGACGAGGATGGGTTACCCCCAATTGAGACGACGCCACCTCTGGTAATAATTTATTACAATTGAATTTTAATCATTAACGGTTAACGATTAATTGTTAGAGGCTAATTGTTGATTGTTAATTGTTAACGATTCATCCAATCATACAAAAAGTGTGAGGACAGAGGGACAATGTTCCCACGGTTATTCGATGTACGCATCATCTCCCCATCTTATACAAACCCCTCCCTCCCCTATCCCACAATGTTAATGTCCCCACATGTCCCCACAGCTTCCGCGGCCACTGAATGTAAAATACTGGAACATGTGCTCAACTTTGAACCGAAATTAGTTTCGATTTATTTATTGCACGTGTACAAACAATGGACAATTAAACTTAAATTACAACAATGTCCATGCGTAAATGGTCTCCAATTTTATTGTTCCAAAAACAAACGATTGTTCTCCCAAGCAATGTTTTTGTTCAGGTTCAATAACAAATTGGAAGTTAACTAATAGTAAAAGTGTACCTAAATTATCTGTACGGCAAAATTTTTCCATCACCGACCACATTCGTATACTTCTAATTTTCTTATCCCAAATTGTAAAGGAAAGACAAAAATCATGCGAAAATTTTTCAAAAAAATCGATATCCCCTCAAAATTTGAGTGTGTTCGAAAAACTCTGAAAGTCATGTTGGTCACGAGATGTCGACCTCATTGGTGTAAGGTCAACATTGGGGCAGAATCTGAGGTATTGAAGTTTTAAAAATTTGAAAATTTGAAAATTTGAAATTGTTTTGTCGAATCGTGATTGGATTAATTAAACACCTATTTAAATTAACTTTTATGACACTTCTATCAGTCATTGTCGATGACAAAAATCATTATCTATTATTAACTTTGCAATTGTTTCTATTTTATTTTTTTAACAAAAAACGTTAAAGTTGTGCAATTTTATGAATTTTAGGGTGCCGAAGAATCCGAACTTTTCACGCATTTCTTCCTCCTTGGGACACGCGATTTGGGGAAACGGAGTCCTTGTGACCTCGAAAGCTGTCCATCTCGGAGTCGAGCTTGTCTTCTTCGTGGAGGTGCAAATCCGCCCGTGGGAAAGGAAACTTGCGTTTGTCGAGGTAATCATTTGCATACAATTTGCATGCAATTTGCATAAAAATTGCCCATTTCTAGTTCGAAAATCTGCAGAAAAATTGATTGATAGCTTGTATTGCGAAAATCTGCATAAAAACTGATCATTTCAAATGAGCTATTTTTAGAAATTTTTGGGAATGAGTAAATTCTATTTCGAAAATCTACATAAACATTGTTCCGTTCTTTATCTATAATCTGCATGAAAATTGGCCATTTCTATTGCGAAAATTTGCATAAAAAGGACTGCCTTCTATTGCTAAAATCTGCATGAAAATTGGCCATTTCTATTGCGAAAATTTGCATAAAAAGGACTGACTTCTATTGCTAAAATCTGCTTGAAAATTGGTCACTTCTATTTCGAAAATCTGCATAAAAATGTATCCCAGAATTATATCCGCTCATTGTATTTTCCAGATTGCGGATTAACCCTGCACGAAAAGTGTCTCGAACATTTGGACGAGTCCAAATTTGCCACGTGTATGCCCGACTTGTACAAAATGCCTGCAATTTTTGGCGTGGATTTGACCACGGTGGTGAAAGCGACGATGGTCACAAGCATGACGGAGGAAGATCCGGTTTCAATACCAGAACCCACGCCGCCTTTCGTGGTGACGAAATGCGTCCAAGAAATTGAGCGGATTGGGGTCACGTCGGAAGGAATTTATCGCATTTCTGGTTCGCAAGATGCTGTGCTCAAAATGCAAAAATTGCTTGAAAGAGGTTCGTCATTCCGTAAATAATGTAGGACTCGATGCCAAAACGGTCAAAGTCAGTACATTTTTAATCATTTCTCCATTCTGGGAATTTATTTTAAAATTCTGGACGACAATTTGCTAGAGCAGGTCGTTCCCAATTTTTCGGAAATATACACTCCAGACTTTTTGGCAGAGGAAATCTCAAGTTTAAGACGCCTTCAGAAAAATTGGAACTCGTCGAAACTGGCTCAAAAAACTCAACCCCATTCCATCAATCAGCTCACTAACTACAAATTTGTCGTCCAGAAATTTAAAATAAATTCCCAGAGGCGAGAAATGATTAAAAATGTGTGAATTTTGACGATTTTTGTGATAATTAATTACGTAATTAAGCAATTAATTAATTAAAGTATTAAAAATATTTCCTCAGATCGGATGTCCGCCGACTTGGCCGCATTCACGAGTAACGACATCGACTCGGTTTGCGCCCTGCTCAAATTATACTTGCGCCTCTTACCGGAACCCTTGATAAGCCGGGATGTGTTCTCAAAATTGATGGAGGACAGACAAAGTTAGTCTTTAATAATGTGCTAAATTTCGAAAATTCGAAATTTTCTAAATTTTATGTCAAAATTTGACGCAATAATTTACCAATTTTTGTTTTTATTTTAATTAAGCGCATAATTAAATTAATTAATTATAAATATTTAGACAACATTCTCACGCTGACCACCATGCGACAAACATTGACCCTTCTTCCCCCCGCGCACAAGGTGACGCTCCGCTACCTTCTCGCGCACTGGGATCGCGTCGTGGCGCAGGAGGACGTGAATAAAATGAGCTCGCACAACTTGAGCCGTGTCCTCGTGCCCAGCATCGTCGCGGACACCATGACGCTGACGAGTATCGATATGGGGGCTCACATTTTCGACATGTTGCTCACGAACTGTAACACCTTTGACTTTTGGGGGCAGTAATAAATCGAAAATGCGTGCGAAATAAGCGAAAATTTGTATACAATAATTTTTTAAAGCACGGACATAATTAATAATTATTAATTATGGTCAAAACTAACAAGGATTGTCTTCCAGTCACGGCTTTTGTGTCAATCCATCACAAATTTACTGGTTTGAAGTGTAAAGAACACACTATAAAGCATCCGGTGGAGTCAGATATGTACTGCTTACTGGTATTGATTTGGTAATAATTCCATACCAGATTAGTTATAGTTTGATTCTGAGTGGTAAAGATTTTATTACCACCACATTATTAGGCCGTGCCGTAAACGATCGATATTACCGATGCCGGTAGAGTCATATAATGTACTCCGTCCAGTAATAATTCAATACCCGTTGCCTAAGAGTGCCCAGATTTTGTTGAAATTTTGGAATTATGCAGTCCAAGTCAATAAAACAAACGTTTTTTGACGCAGTTCGAAGTCAAAGAGGAAGAATGGACGATTTTCCTTTTCGAGAAGAATGGAAATGAACGTTTCTTCCTCCGCTTGGTAAGAATCGCCCATTTTTTAAACTTTGATCTCAAATATCTTGAAGAAACGTTGGTTGGATTGAGTTGAACTGCATAATTCCAAAATTTCAACCAAATCTGTATAAAATTCGGAAAGACGCGATCTCCGAATGGTCACGAGATATTTACATCTGAAGAGGAGAAAACGTGTCCTAAAGTTGACAGATTTTCTTTCTCTGCATTTTCTCCTCTTTGGATGCAAATATCTCTGTCAAACTTGTCAATTGGGAGATCGCGTCTTTCGCAAATTTCATCCTACTTAAATTCGTCATTCGATTGACACTAGTTTCCACAAAATCAGAGAGCATCCGCTGGGAGACCTCCCTTGTGAGCGCCCAAAAATGAAATGACACCGACTAGATTGGTACAAAGTAATTTTTAAGCGTTATGGTCAGCACTAAGCGTCCAGAGATGATATGCCCAGACGGACGGACAAAACGATCACAATATGCAGCTAAAGCTACTTATAAATCGAAACGTATGCAAAAACGCAATAATTTTTATAAGCATTATGGTCAGTACTAAGGATAAGCATCCAAAGATGAGATGCCCAAACGGAGAGACGGACTGACAAAACGATAACAAAAAGCAGCTCATGCTAATAATACTAAATCCAAAATGCATGCAAACGCTAAAAAATGTGTACAAAATAATTTTTCTAAGCGTTATGGTCCGCACTAAGCGTCCAGAGATTATATTGACTCGCAACGAGCAACCAGATCCAGTATGTGACGACAAACACGATAAAACTCGAAGGGATCACGGTGACCAGAATGGAGTCCAATTTAGCATCAAGATTTACCCCTCCGCCGCCTCCGCAACAAAAAGTTTCCTCCGTGGTGGTGGTTGCGCCAAAATTGTGGAGGGATGAGGAGCCCCCCTCGTCGTCGGAGGCGGGGTCGACGCCGAGATTATTTCCGGTTAGGGAGGTGTCACGTGGTGGTGGTTTGTTAAATTGGGAGTGGACCGGACAGAACTCGGAGGACGGGGGGAGGTGGAGATGCGTCGCGTGGGGGATTTCCTGGATAAGGGAGGTTATCATGTAATTATGTAGGTATGGCTTATCGTTCAATTTTGTTGTACTTGGACATGTTTGGATTATGTTGTTATCATGCAAATATCTATCTTTGCAGGTCTAGCATGGCTTATCTATCTTTCAATTTTTGGACATACGTGGGTGTTTTATTATTGATTTTCAAAAGGTATGTTCCGCACTGTTTCTGACCAAAATTTTGATGAAATAACAAACTTGAAATACATTTACAGTGTCGGACAGATGTCTACGTCCACATAGTCGCGTCAATTTCATTTTCAAATTGTCACTGAACTACTGAACCAATTTTCATCATTGATATATCAAATTCTCACAAATTTAACGTAATTTCATAGCACATTATTAGTTTTCCGCTAAAAAATTTATTTTAGGCCAGAGATGTATTTTAATTCAAAATGAAAACAATTGGATGGACAAAAGTCAACGTCCAGTCAGAGAAAACATACAAAAAAAACTGTAATTTATAAGGAATGTTATAACAATTAATTTTTAATATTTGGTTGGGCCTCCGTTCGCTTTAAGGACGGCTTCAAGGCGTCGAGTCATTGAGTTTACCAAATTCTTGGTCACATCTTCAGAAATGGTTTCCCAAACTTCACGAATTCTGGATTTAAGGCCCGGAATTCCTGAAAAAGATTGTTTTCTTATTTCTCTTTCAATGTGGTCGCACAGATGCTCAATGGGATTCAAGTCTGGAGATTGGGGAGGCCATTCTAGCTTCGGAATTTTTTTTTCTTGAAGTATTCCATGGTGGACTTGGCAGAGTGTTTCGGATCGTTGTCTTGTTGGAAGGCAAATCGTCGTCCAAGTCCAAGTTTTCGAACAGATTCCTGGATATTACGGTCAAGTATTCCCTGGTACTTGTATTGGTCCATAATTCCGTCAATAAATTCCATTTTTCCTGCCCCACTTGAAGCCATGCATCCCCACACCATTACCGACCCGCCGCCGTGCTTAACTGTGGGGTTGAGATTTTTTGGATTCAAAGCTTCTTTTGGATATCTCCACACTCTACGACGCCCATCTGACCCAAAGACATTGAACTTTGACTCGTCAGTCCATAAAATATGTGGTCTCTGGCAAACTTCACTCGTTTGGTTGCATTCCTCGGTACAATAAGAGGCTTCCGGACTGCTCTGTGGGATTTCAAATTTCCCTTATTCAGTGTTCTTTGGATGGTCATAGGACTAACCTGTTTGCCGAACATCTCCTTGATCTCGGTAGATAGCTTTGGAGCACTAAGTGAGGGTGTAACGTTGACTTTGTTGAGCACGTGGCGTACTTCTCGGTGAGCCAAAATGGGTTTTCGACCACTTCTGACCTTGTTTTGGACTGAACCATTAGCTTTAAAGTTCTTAATGATTGTCTGGATGGTTGTCCTTGCTAATTTATACTTGGTCCATATTTGTCTCTGCGACAGCCCCCTTTTTGTCCACCCTTCCAGTCCTGAATGACAAGATCTCGAATAGCGATAGGAATTTCCTTGCGTGTCGACGCCATCATATTTTTCTGGAAGAAAATTATTTAAAAATTAATGCGGCATATGTTATTGATAGATTTATTAAGTTACCTGATTTTATAAATTGGAGAGATTTTTGTTGTTGACAATTAAAGTGAAGTGGACGTAGACTTTTGTCCGCTCAAATTTCATCCTCTCTCGCTCTGCACTATGATTCTCAGTTTTCCCAGAATTTTCAGAAATAACTCATATGTTTTATGAAATTACGTTAAATTTGTGAGAATTTGATATATCAATGATGAAAATTGGTTCAGTAGTTCAGTGACAATTTGAAAATGAAATTGACGCGACTATGTGGACGTAGACATCTGTCCGACACTGTAGGAAGTCGTGATTTTTTTCAGCTCAATCGGTTAAAAGGAACACCCGCAATAAATCATCCAAATTTACCTCGAAAATATGCAAAAATTTACGACTTGATTCCATTATCATCCCAAAATCGTTTCCCCTTCATGCTTTTATTCAACGTTTGAAACGGGTAATAATCACTAAGGGTCAAGGCTGGACTGTACGGGGGGTGGTTTATGACGGTGAAGCGTTTTTCGTCTGCAGCAGCCCTCGAAACCAGCGAGGTATTTGTTGGCGCGTTGTCGTCTAAAAAAAGGCCAACTATTTATTTTGACCTCACGTTTCTCTTCAACCGCAGCACGCAGCTCGGTCGGGGTTCCTGCATAGGCTGCCCCATTTATCATAGTATTTCCAGCAAGAAATTATGTAAGAAGGGGACCTTTTGTATCATTGTAAATAGTCATAATCAATTTTTTGGCAGATTTTTACGCTTTTGCTTTCATGGGCGGTGGCAACCCCCCGTGCTCCCATTGCATGAAGTATTGTTTAGTCTGCAGGTCATAATAGTAAACCCAAGTATCATATGCAACTACTAAAATATGAAGCAGGTTCCAGTTTTCATTTAATAGGTTAAAATTGGCATTGCAAAGGTCAACTCGATCTTGTTGTTGAGATGCCGAAAGCAATTTTGGTACCCAACGGGCGGAAGCCATTTTCATACCTAAGTCTTCAGTTAACGTGGAACAAATTGTTGGTTTTGGAACACCCATCTTATCTGCTAAATAGGACAGTTTCAATCGTGGATCTCTAATTATTGGTTCCTCTAGTTTCTGGAGCCTTTTTGTGGAAGAAACTGATTTTGGGCGTCCTGGCGACTTTTTGTCCGAGACCACTTTTCGCCATCATTTGAAGTTACTGACCCAATTTATATTGTGCTTTGTGTTGGGCAGTTTTCATCGTAAACTTTAAGCATGCGATCATAAATCTGCGACACCGATTGCCCTTCCAGCGTTAAAAGTTAAATCACACTACGATATTTAATTTGCAAATCTGACATTTTTTCCGTCGAGGTAAAGTTTGCTGATTTATTGCTAGTGGTGATGTTAACCTAAAGAGCTGAAAAAAATCACAGCATCCTAAATGTATCTGAAGTTTGTTATTTCATTAAAATTTTGGTCAGAAACAATGCGGAACATACGTTTTGAAAATCAATAGTAAAACACCTACGTATTTATGGATATCTTCGGATGAGGTTAGCATGCAAATATGTATGGCTTATCGTTCAATTTTGTTGTACATAAGTAACTGCGGATATCTTTGAATTATGTTATCATGTAAAAATCTTTACATGATCTATGTATCATGGCTTATCTTTCTTTGATGTCTTTGGGTGAGATTATCATGCAAAATGTATGGCTTATCTTCAATCTTTGCACATAGTTCGATGTCTTTAGGTGAGGATATCGTTATCATGCAAATATGTATGGATTATCTTTCAATCTTTGCTCATACTTGGTTATCCTTGGATGGAGTTATCATGTAAATATGTATGCATGGCTTATCTTTCACTTTTGTGTACCTGGATATCTTTTGAGTCGTAACCACCCACAATTGAGTGGAAGGTGGGAGCCGTCATCATTTTTTGGTGGTATCGGATCCTCTCTTTTTTCTGAATCCTGAATTTAAAAACATAATTTCTTGTAAGGTTTTGAAATTTCTTGTAAAAAACATAATTTTTTACCATGCAATCGCCAAAAATCCTCCCAGAGTGACAAAAATGAAGAAAATACAGCCCAACATCCACGCGTCGATGGCTTTCATGTAGCTCACGGCAGGGGCGGAGGATCTGCCGATGAGACGATTAGCAAATTAGAAATTTCTGAGAATGGAGATCTTCTCCCAGCATATGCACTCCGATTTTGAGAAAACTAGTGTCACTCCATCACAAAATTGATTAGGATGAAATTTGCGAAAGACACGAGTCGTGTCACACGACCTCCCAATGGGCACGTTTGACAGAGATATTCGCATCCCAAGATGAGAGAACGAGCAGTAAATTTGGAAATGGTAAACTTTGTCGACTTTACTGCGCATTTTCTCCTCTTTGGATGTAAATATCTCGTGCCCATTGGGAGATCGCGTCTTTCGCAAATTTCATCTTGCTTAAATTTGTCATCGATTGATACTAGTTTGCCCAAAATCGGAGATCATACGCGGGGAAACGTTCAAAATTGACCCCAAAAACTGCGTCTACCTGACAGAGCTGAACATTGCCGTAATTGTGAGCAGCGTGGTCATCGCGACGCCCACTCTGACCTCAGATTGCTCCCTCGGAACGAGAAAGCACAACCACGTGACCACGGCCAGAATCACGCTGGGAATGTAGGTTTGGACCAAGTGATAGCTTAGTCGGCGTCTCGACTTGACCACAAATTCTAGCGTGGCGTGCTTCTCGTCTAGAAAATGACGACAGATTTTTTAAGGAAATATTGTAGAATTTTGAAATATGTATTTCCGAATACCCAATTTCTTCCAACGCCCAATCCGCTCGGGAACATCGGTTCGCGACGCGGACACGACGCCATACTCAAAGTTGTAATCGTACGTTCGGTGGAGATAAATTCCGACATCGAACCACGATATGTTGACGAGTTTGGTGTTGTAAGAGTCTGAAAAATGAAGAAAAAATTCAAATTTTGAGAAATTATTAGTGTTTCGGGTGCAAAGTAACGACTTGCAAGAAATTACTGGGAGAAAGTGGTTTCTAGCAGGGCAATATTTCGACCTGCAAGAAATGCAACGGTGCAAGCAACGACGCCTCGCTGCAAGATTTCTTGTACTTTCTTGCAGTTTCTGGCACCTCTCAATGAGAGGCTCTCATTTCTTGCGTTATTCTTTGGTAGTGCAAAAAATTTGGCAAATCCGCAATAAATGAAACACTGGAAATTATGAAAAATTATAAAAAATATGTACTCACAACTTCTCAACGTAAAGTGACACTCTTGACTGTCAGCAGGATAGTAGAAGAAGTCGAAATCGCAATACAGATTTAGCAACATTCTCGTCTTAAACTTGACATAGCCCGTGGTCGGATTGAGCACGATGGTTTTCGGCTCGACGCCAACATTGGGGTGCGATACGGACGCGATTTGCTCTATAATTTATGCAATACTTAGTTACTTAATCACAATTAGACTTAAATAGTCGTTAATACCAAAGAAGAAATCTGGTCTCCAAATTTTATCGAGAGCGTCCCCACTCAAATAAATGTCTTGATCGGCGTGGTCCTCGTCATTATTATTCGGGCCGGAATTTTGTCCAATTTTTCCATCCTTCCAACCCGCAATGATTTCCACGTCGAATCCAATAAACTAGAAATTTTAAGAAAGCCATGGACATATTTCAGATCAAATAAAGAAATAAAACGTTCCCCCCAAAAAACTGAATTTTGACAAATATTTTGACAAATATTTTCATAAATCAAGAAATCCATGAGGGTTTGAAGAACACGATCAATCTCAGCATTTCATATCAAATAAGAACAAAACTTATTTTGGAACATAAATTTTCATAAATATTTTCAAAAATCAGGATCCGTATGTTTTGTCTCACATGATCAATTTCATTCCTAAATATTTTTCATATCAAATACATAAACAGAAAAAAATATTCTGAAGGATAACTTGTCATAAATATTTTCTTCCATATTTTCCAAAAATAAAAAAAATCCACCACGTGGGTTTCCTCACGCACATGATCAATCTCATTGAAATCCATGACTTCTCCGATATTCAAGAAGAAATCGACGTGGACGGGATTCGTCAAGTTTTCAGGAAACTCAAGAGGAACTTGGAGCTTGTCATAATTTCTGGGTAGCCAACTTTCTCTTTCACTACTTTCTCCACCTCCATCCGAAATTGTTGGCACGTGATCATTTTTCCGCTTCAATTCCTTAAGAATGCAGGTCAAGATGTCGATCGTGACCTGACCCCGTTGCGTCTCTTGGTCGAAACGTTCTCCAGAGAGGAGTTTGGAACAGAGCGGGTCCTCGTCTCCGCCCGGGTTGAAGGGGACAACGGTATCGAAGGATTGTGGTGAAAAGGAGAGAACCGGTGGGGATGCTTTCTTCTGGGGGACGGACCAACTTTGCAGATTTCCTTCGGTTCTACATAAAGGGGGAAAATACTGGGTCAAAATTTGAAGTATTTTGAGCTTAGTTCTTCCTAGGGTTTGGATTTCCGGGGGTGTTACACCCACAAAAAGACGAAAATCTACGTGGAGAAGGCAACAGTAAAGCAAGTAAATGAGCAAAAATTTCAGAGTATTGAGAGTAATATTAATAGTCTTAGACTATCAGTCGAAAATACGGGTTTTGTGAAGAAATTAACTTTTTATTGCTGTCAAAATGCATCGTTTTCACGATTTTCTAAAAATAAGGCATTTTGACAAAGGGAAAAAGTTAATTTCTTCAGAAAACTTAAATTTTCATATAGGTACCGTCTTCGCGATGCAGATTTTCTTCTTTTTGTGGGTGTAACAGCCCCGAAAATCTTAACCCTAGAAAAATCGGAGCTCAAAATACTCTGTTCTGAAAAAATATTTCCCCCACAAAACATAATTTCCCATTAATTGTAAGTATAATAAGTTTCCCAGATTTAATTCAATTTCAAATATATTTACCTCGAGATGAAAACACAGACCAAAATAATAACCTGGATAACGACCATTCTTATCTGATTAAGGGTTATCATTATCTACCACTTCTTCCAACAACCAGCCACGCAGGGAGGGGAACAACTAACCGAGGAATAATTCCATGCAAAAGTAGAAACACCGTATGAAAATCAACTTCCGTTCCGTGTTGGGTTCATGTTACTCCAAAGTTCGATCTGTTCGTGTATTATTTTCATATGTACGCGAAAATGTATGCATGTACACAAACCATGAAATGCGGATCTAACCATACACGCCATCATATTTATTACACGAAATGTAGACCAGGCAGAAATTGAAGGCAAACACATCAACCGAAAAAAGTACGTAATTCTGCGAAAACGTATCAACTTTTTCTCATAAAAGACCGAAATTATCGCTTTCCTCGGAATTATTTTGGCCCGAATTCTCCTGAGACTCGTTGTATTCGTGTCCTCTGCTCAATGTTCATTACATAATTTGACACATCACAAAATACCATTAATTACTCGGAAAAAGTAGGCGTTGGTGGTTTCATTTCACCTTTTTTTGTGGTGGTGAATATGTGTGTATGGTTTTATGCAAATTATGTAAATTAGTAAGTTGCGTAAAAGTGATGATAATTAATCCTGACGCAAAAAGAGGTGGCAGTGTTTTCTATTTTGTGAGAATGACTTACGTACATTAATGCAACATTAAAAATATGTAAATAAATTTGTCAAGGTCAAAAGTCCGGCGAGGGATTGACACCCGGAATCCTGTCGGATCATAAATTTACACTTCAAAATTTCCTAACGTCATAAATTTCCTAAACAAAATTAGGACACGGTAAATATTTTGTCAAAATACAGTATTTTGAGCCCGGTTCTTCCCTGGGTTTGGATTTCCGGGGCTGTTACACCCACAAAAAAAGACGAAAATCTACGTGGAGAAGGCAGCAGTCGTACGAAATTACAGGTTTTGTGAAGAAATTAACTTTTTATCGGGGTCAAAATACAAAATTTGTAGAAAATCGTGAAAGCCATGTATTTCAACCCCGATAAAATAAGTTAATTTCTTCCCAAAACCCGTATTTTCGTACGAGTACTGTCTTCTCCACGAGGATTTTCGTCTTTTTGTGGTTGTAACAGCCCCCTAAAATCCAAACCCTGGGAGGAACCCAGCTCAACATACTTCAAATTTTGATCAAGTATTTTCCCTAACTGTGCAAAATTTTTGAAAAAATGGGACAAATTTCTGACCTGTTTTCCATCCGGGGTGAACAAGCATGCCCACAAAATGTTGAGAACGGAGCCAACAATGCACAGCCAGGAGAACACGATGAAGACGATTTCCATCCAGAACTGGGGTCGAAGACAGAGCGACGAGTTTGAGTCCGTGGGGCAGACTTCCCAAACCGCGTGGGCCCGACAATTGACATGGGCGTGGGTTCCGACCACGGCTGCGATGAAGATGATCACCTATGAAGGAAGGAATTTGGTCTTATGGTGTTAGTTAAGCAGTGGCCGCGGAAGGAAGTGTGGGGGGGACATGTGGGGACATTAACATTGTAGGAGGGAGGGAGGGAGGGGTTTATATAAAATGGGCAGATGATGCGGACATCGAATAAGCGTAGGGGCATTGTCCCTCTGTCCCCACCCACCCTTCCGCGGCCACTGCTTAAAGGTATGTTACCCTTGTTTAATCAGTGGCCGCGGAAGCCGTGAGGACATCGGGGGACGCTAACATTGCAGGATAAGGAGAGGGAAGGGTTTGTAAAACATAGGCAGATAATGGGGACATCGAACAACCGTGGGGACATTGTTCCTCTGCCCCCACGCCCCCACGGGCCGTGTCAACAAGCTTGTGATATAAATATGTATGTATGTACATACCAAGCAGCTAATTTTCAGCCCGTACGTACACGCAACCCGAATCATGATGATGCAGGCAGTCTCGAACGATCGAGTCGAAATTGACTACAAATTTGAATACATAAAAATTTGATTCCAGGAATTATACATATTTTTCCAGACGGACGTCTGTAAGCCAAAGTTCGGTTCAGACGAGACGTTCGAAGTGTTCAGACGAGACGTTGCTAAGCCATGTCTGGTGGCATGCATACGTTTCGAAATTAGCCGGAGTCTTTCGAAAATGTGCTGCCTTATTTTGGCCCGAGTCGGGTTGTTATCAATGTCAGTGGCCGCGGAAGGGTGGGTGAGGACAGAGGGACGATGTCCCCACGGTTATTCGATGTCCCCTCCCTCCTCTATCCTACAATGCTACTGTCCCCACGGCTTCCGCGGTCATTGATTAATACTAATAGATTTAGGTGGGTAAAATATCATATCATCAGTACAACAAAGAGGTCGATGCCGTCGATCTTACCCCTCCGAAAACACGCCGGCGCCGCCCCCGCCGACATAAATTTTATTTTATCAACCATGTCGTCCGATAACTCTAATTCTAATAAATTTTATTTCGTATTCCTTCAATATTGCGACGCAGCGACGCCGAAAGAAACACAAAAATGCCAAGTTGTAAGTACCCAAATGTGACCCTTTTCTAAAACGTATGGTTTTTTTTATTAGATTTCCGACCCCCCAAAAAATCAGTACATATATTTTCACACTTTCGCAAATTATGAATAAAAATATCGAATTATGATGAATTAAGTATATATATATGATGCCTATTTACATATTTTAAATCTTGATCGTCTCGTTCTACATGCAAAGGGTCCCGGCAGAGCTGAAGTACAGAACGCTGGCCAACAAGGAGAGCGCCTGGGGATAAAAAATGCAAAATTTTTGTAACAAAAATTCCTGTAAAATTTTAAAATTTTACAATTCGAAATTTCTCTCACCCCAGCTGCGATCTTGTCAATATACAAATCCGCTTTTCTCACTTCAGTTTTAAAAGCTTCTGGCAACTTGTCCGTATGATGAGCGTTGTCAATTTGCACGGCCGCCGCGATGATCAATGCACCACTGATCAAGGTCAAAATTCCGGCGAGGGATTGGCACCCGGAATCCTGTCGGATCAGATCATAAATTTACATTTCAAAATTTTATAATTACACAATTTCATAAGTTTACAAAATTGGGAGAGGAGAAATATTTTGTCAAAATACAGTATTTTTTTGAGCTCAGTTCTTCGCAGGGTTTTAATTTCCAGGGGCTATTACACCCACAAAAAGGCGAAATTCTACGTGGAGAAGGCAATAGTCGTATGAAAATACAGGTTTTGTGAAGAAATTGACTTTTTATCGGGGTCAAAATACTTTATTCTCGTAAAATCGTGAAAACAATGCCTTCTGACCGTTAATAAAAAGTCAATTTCTTCAAAAAAAACAGCATTTTCGTACGACTCCTGCCTTCTCCACGTAGATTTTCGTCTTTTTGTGGGTGTAACAGCCCCCGAAATCCAAACCAAGCCCAAAATACTACTGTATTTTTCCCCAACTGTGCAAAATTTTTGAAAAGTGAGATATTTAATTTAAATTTTCTGACCTGTTTTCCATCCGGGGTGCACAAGCATGCCCACAAAATGTTGAGAATGGAGCCAACAATGACCAACCAGGAGAACGCGATGAAGACGATTTCCATCCAGAACTGAGGTTTGAGACATAGCGATGGATCAATGTCCTTGCAATTTTCCCACAATTTGTGTTGCGCACAGTTGACATGGGCATTCGTTCCGATCACGGCTGCGATGAAGGTGGTCCCCTAAAAGAAGCAGGAATTTGACCTTATATTCAGTGTTTCGGGTGGAAATAGTTGGAAGAAATAAGGGCAAGAAAGTGTTTTTTTTTTGCAGGTGGATATTTTGACCTGGGAGAAATGCACGACGCGTGGCTGGATGGCGCACGTTTCTTGCACTTTCTCCCAGTTTCTTGCACCTCACATTTCTTGCTTTCCAGTGCAAGAGACGCTGCTTATCTTGTCGATAAGCTGATTTTAACAATAAATAGATTTTAAGTATGCATACCAAGCAGAAAATTTTCAGCGCGTAGGTACACGCAACCTGGAGCATGATGATGCAGGCAAACTCGAAAATGGAAATTGACTCTGCTTTTTTTTTGAAGAAAAATCGGAATTTTCAGGAATTTTTGTTCCCCCGGACGAAAATCTGTCCAATTTCAAAAATCTGTTCAGACATAGCCCGCATTTAGACGAGGCGTTGCGTTGCTAAGCCAAGATATTTGTGAATTTAGCCCAATTTTTAATCAGATTAAAAAAGAAAGGTAATCGATATGGGTTAAAAATGGTTTCGAAAAATTGTGACTTTTTCGGGCCCTATAAATATTTAAGTCATTTTTTACAATTCAAAATCAATCCGGGGTTTTATTGAGAAACTTATTTTACGTTGTGAATAAACTTGCATGATCAAGATTTTGAATTCGTCCCAATAAAAATTAATCCGATCAAACGCCAAGATTGAAATAGGTCAAGTTTTTCTATACTCTTTGATTACCGTTTTTTTTGTTAACTCGCCTTTTTTACTGCAATAAAACTTACCTCAACTTCAAAAAATATCAACGTTCTAAAATTGTTTGAGTTTGCATACACACATAAATATGTAAATCTACAAACTCCAGTATGTATTTTTTACAAAAAAAGTAAAACTAGTTTTTAAGTTATTTTTTTTACCCAAAATTATGTTATATGTAAATGGTAATTTTCAATTACAGCATTGTATCAAATTAATTAATGCGCAATCTATAATTAATGCGGGGGTCTAGAAACTCACGATTTTTTTGCGTTACAATTTATGAACCACACCTGTGACCTTTTTCAAAAAAGCGTATGATTTTATTTTTATTGGATTCCCTGAAAAAATCGTTACATATTTTTCCACTTTCGCAAATTTTGTAATACATATGTATTTGTCGAATTATGACGAATCAAGTATCACGATTATTTTTCATCTTGGTCGTTTCCTCTTCTAAGTAAAAGGACCCCGGCAGACGCAAAGTACAGCAAACTGGCCAAAAAGGAGAACACCTGATGGACCACAAAAGTGTGTCAAATTTTGTGAAAATTTTGTGAAAATTGTAATTAAATTTATCTCACCCCAGCTGCGATCTTGTCAGTATAATAATCCTGACTTCTCCGAATAGGTTTGTCCCATTCTGTCACCAAGCTGGGATCATTAAGCTTGTTGTCAATGTGCAAGACCGCCGCGATCATTAACGCCCCGCAGATCAAGGTCAAAAGTCCGGCGAGGGCTTGACACCCGGCATCCTGCGTAGGTCGGATCATAAGTAAATAATTAGTTTAAAAATTTTTTGAAAAAAGCGAGGCTAATTTTCCAGGGGAGGGCAAAATATTTTATCAAAATATGTACAGTAATTTGGAACTCTTTTCTTCCCAGGGTTTGCATTTCCGGGCCTGGCACACCCACAAAAAAACGAAAATCTACGTGGGGAAGACATAAATCAGTCGAAAATACGGGTTTTGGGAAGAAATTGACTTTTTACAGCAGGAAAAATAAATAGTTTTAAGATTTTTTTAAAAATAAAGTATTTTGACCAGAATAAAAAGTTAATTTCTTAAAATAAAGATGCATTTTCTTACAACTGTTGCAAGTGCAACAGTTGTACGAAAATATGCATTTGTCAAGAACTTTACTTTTTATCGAAGTCAAAATATTTTATTTAAAAAAATCGTGAAATCTATGTATTTTGACCCCGATAAAAAGTTAATTTCTTCACAAAACCCGTATTTTCGTGCGACTGTTGCCTTCTCTGCGTAGATTCTCGTCTTTATGTGGGTGTGCCAGGCCCAGAAATCCAAACCCTGGGAAGAACTGAGGTCAAAGTACGGTATTTTTCCCCCTCTGTAATTTTCTTACCAGGAGCCTATCCGGGGTCCAAATCCATGCCCACATAAAGTTGAGAATGGCCCCCAGAAAGGACAACAAGGCGAACACGATGAACACGATTTCCATCCAGTACGCAGCTCTGGGACTGATCGAACTGTGGTTAAGCTGGCAATCTTCCCAATATCGCGTCAACCGACACGAAACATGGGCGTTGGTTCCGATCACGATTGCGATGAAGAAGGTCGCCTAAGAAGGAATTTCACCTTGAATTATGTATTTTGAAATTGTATTTTGAAGGATTTTGAAGGATATTCACGGATATTCGAACCCAGATTTTTTTGACCACCTCAGTTTGAAAGACTATTAGAAGCAAAATTTAGTGCAGGACTTGAGCGGATCCGCAAAAATAGGCGCCGCAAGTTCGCGAAAAAGCTCGGTTTTCCAACGGGACAGGAATAGGCAAATCTTCCGCTGGAAAACTGCCCGAAATTATCTGAATTTGGGCATCTGTACAAGTTCCGCATTAAATTTTGCTTCTAAAGAGTTGGTCTTTTAAACTGTGCTAGTCAGAAAATAATCTGGTTAGAACATGGTTTGCGTCCCCGTTAGCAGTGTTTCCGGTGGGAGTAATCACTCGCAAGAAATAAGGGGGAGAAAGTGGTTTCTTGCAGGGGAATATTTCGACCTGGGAGAAATGCAAGGCACAAGAAACGACGCCACGCCGCTGTAAATACTTCATACGGCGCGTGGCTTGGTGGCGCTGATTTCTTGTACTTTCTCCCAGTTTCTTGTATCTCGCATTTCTTGCTTTGCAGTCCAAGAAAGGTAACAAACCACCAGCAAGATTGCTTGTCTTGTTGTCAGTAAGCAAGGTGTCAATATGCTGATTTTATAAATATATATGTATACCGAGCAGAAAATTTTCAGCGCGTGGGTGACCTCAACGTTGATCTTGATCATAATAATAATGCAGACAAATCGGGTCGAGATTGACTAAAAATTTTGAATAAAAATCAGTTTTTTTTAAATTTTTCTGAATAATAATCGAGTCCCAGGAATTTTTACCGGAATCCGATTTCAAAGCTCTGTTCGGAAGAGGCGTTGCTAAGCCGGGGGACATTTTTATTTTCTGATCTCGTACATATTTATTTTAGTATTTTTTATTAAATTTAACTATAATTGTTGAATCCATAATATTAGCATAACTACAATAGATATATAAATGAAATTCTTTATAACATAAATATCTCCTCCAGCTTGTGTCCTTTTGGAAGGGATCCTAAAATGGATGCTACATCCCCTCTTTGAACAGTGATACTCATTCTCTGCAATAAAAAGGATGTCGCCCTCTTCTCTTCTGTGATGTTTGTGATTCTGGACCCGATTTCTTTAATAAATGACAAGCCATCTTTACCCCAAATCCCTGTTGTTTCGATGGCTATTGGGACAAAAAGGAAACTGTCCATTTATTTTATTAATTTACAATTTAAAATTATTGGAGCTTTATTATGGAAAACGTATTTTATTTTGTTAAGAAAATTTCATAATTAAAAATTTTGAAAATCAAATCATCAAAATTAATGTGATGAAACGCCAAGGTTGAAATATGTCAAGTTTTTCTATACTCTTTTATTACCTTTTTTGTCAACTCACCTTTTCACAAACCTAAATATGTATTGATTTTTATTTTGTTATCATATTTCCTAACTTTTTAAATTTCTGAAATACATAAAGCAACCAACAATAACTTTACCGTAAAAAATACATATAATATTCTAAAAATTTTTTGCACACATAAATATGTAAATCTACAAAATTCAGTATTCAGTTTTCAAAAAAATGTAAAACTAATTTTTAAGCTGTTTTTTGTATACATAAATTTACATTACAGCATTTTAGCAAATTAATACACAATCTAATTAATGTCAACTTTAATAATAATGTAAGGAAATTGGTCCTTTCGTTTCTTGATTTTGGTCGTTGGTTATGGTTTTCTTCGTCTTTTTTTGTATATCAACTTCAATCTGGTTTCTTCGTCTTTTAGAAAATATTTCACGTATTTAACGTCGATCATCATTAGGCAGTCAGGAAATCTACGTTTTCAAAATTTCCGAAATTTTCCCGACCTCTCGAGTACGTTTTTAAAATTTTCGAAATCTCGAGTTCAGCAAAAATTTCCTGAAACAACAATACGAACAATTTTTAGAAGACAGATTTGAAGAGATAATATTGTCTCCGGAAATTTTGACCCGACCGAGAATTCGGAAAAATTACGGAAATTTTAAAAACGTAGATTTGCTAACTGCCTAAATTAATAAATAGTTATATATTTTCTCGTGACAATCATAATAATGCGTCTCCTCCCCGGCATCATGAAAAAAAGCGAGTGCAGTAACAAAAACGCTAACTAATTAACTAACTATCTTTAAATTGTCACAATTAGATTTTTAAATCCTACATAATTTTATTACTGGATTGACTCCGGTGCACACTACGCTAAAGACTATGTGATACTACTACTTTAATTCTGTGGGGGGTGGGAAATTCTATACTTTTTTAATGGGGTGTCGACGTGGTGGTGGTGGTGCTCGGAAGTGCATTTTCTTGTCCGCATTATTATCACCATTTCTTGTCTCGCGCAATTAATTAAATGTAACGTAATTGGGAATACATTACGTAAGAATAATAATTCATTTAATTAGCAGTGACCGCGGAAGCGTGGGTGGGGACAGAGGGACAATGTCCCCACGGTTGTTCGATGTCCACATCATCTGCCCATCTTATATAAACCCCTCCCTCCCCCTATCCTACAATGTGAATGTCCCCACATGTCCCCACAGCTTCCGCGGCCACTGTTCAGTAGTACTTGGTTTGGTCCTCCAGTTTATGTTTGTGTAATTATTTTGTCTTTAAAAAGTTGTGGTTGTGGTGGTCCCAACAGAGCCGTGAAATTATTGATTGCTTTAAATTCGTGGGGTATTATCTTGTCTGACTTTTTTGGTTACATTTTGAGTCGAAAATTGCATAGGTGTAAAGTTGAAATTGTTTTTTGTTGGTAAATTATGATTATTAATTAGCGTAATTTAGATGTGTAGATCTGATCGTCTGAATGATGTTGTCAGTAAAGGATTTTGTAATTAGCCGTTTTTGGTAGTTAAAACCAAAACCTGTTAAACATCCAAATTTGATCAGATTTTGAAAATTCTTTCACTATTACATAGGTATTTTTTTAATTTGTGACTATCTTTCAAAATTTCTTGACCAGTTTTTCTCATGTCGAAAAACTATAAATCCCCCCAAAAAACTATCCAGGTGCACGAACTTTTAAAATCTGATTTTTGGTGAAGGTTTGAACAAGGAAAATCTGTTTTTTTCGTACTTTTGAGTACGAAAATCTGAGTTTTTTTGGACAATATATATGAGTGGAGACTGAAACCACGTATATATCCAAAGGGGACCAAAATCCCCCAACGACAACATCATAAGCACGCTAGCACATAAGTTCTAACTTTTTCTAAACAACTCATTTACTGCAAATTAATGACTAATTAACTAAATAACGTTCCAAATTATCTAAACTAAACTATACATACATCAAATCCTTGACCTTTTTCCCCGAAAAATAATAATTTAGAAGGTAATCGTCGTAGTATTGCCCGAGGTGGATGCTCCCGTCGTGGTGGTGAGATTTTGACCCGTCGGATTATTCGGTCTCGTCGTGGTGATCGTGGCTGGATAAGAACTGGGTCGTCTCCCCGCCAGCGCAGCGTTGTACTCCAGTTCAGCCCGCATTACGCGGTATCGTTGCAACGCCATGAAGGCGGACGACGCCTGGAAATAGGGGCAAAAAAATTTTCAACTCTCACTAAAATCATAAAAATCAGCACATTTTTAATCATTTGGGAACTTATTTTAAAATTCTGAGTTTCGATGAGTTTCAATTTTTCTGAAGGCTTCGTAAACGTGAGATCTCATCGCCTCCTTGAAAAAGTGTCAAACTCTGGAGTGTATATTTTTTTAAATTTGGAAATTGGAATGAACTGCTCTACAAATTTGTCGTCCAGAATTTTAAAATACATTTTCTAGGCGGAGAAATGATTTAAAATTTGCTAATTTTGGCGAAGCTATTTTTTAAATAAGATTTAATTGTTCCTCACCCAAATAGGGATGGACAGGAATGAGAACCAAATCGCGGCTCGGACCGACGACCCTGCTCCAGCGGCCTCAATTTCCGTTCTATCCGCCTCTTCCCCGCCCGACCACTGCGTTTCCAACATGATGAAACAGATGAGGAAGAGGAACGTCCAGATGGCTGGGGAAAAATATACACAAATATCTGTAGTACGATAAAATCATGACCAAAAGATAACCAATCAGTGAATTGATTCTTGCACTGCAATGTATGCAATGCAAGAAATGTGAGGTGCAAGAAATTGGGAGAAAGTGCAAGAAATATGCATGTCATCTAGCCACGCGCTGTATGGAGTACAGCGGCGGAGCGTAGTTTCTCGCCCCATGCATTTCTTGCAGGTCAAAATTGCTGCAAAAAAACACTTCTGGCAAATGGTTATTTGCACGAAACACGAAAATTATGTGCACAAAAATATGACCAAATCGTGACCAAAAAACTAAAAAAAAAATCATGAACAAGGGCATGCCTAAAAACACGGTCAAAATTCTTACCCGAGAAAATACTCTCCACAAAATAGTACTGGAGACGGTAATGGACAAGGGCGACCTTATCGATGATAAACTCTCCGCTGAAAAAATGGGGTCCAATTTGAATACAAATGTAAAATTTTATGTACTCATACTCCAATTTACATTGCTCACCTGAGGAAAATGATGGCGGCGAGGAGGCCGATGAATGAGACGAAGATGCCAAAAGTGCAGACGCCCTCGGACCCCTCGCCGTACAAGCACTTCTTCTCCTTCGATATCCCGTCGTTGTCCGAAGTGTACGACCACGCCCACGCGTCCACAACCATGCAGCCGTACACGATGATCCCAAAAAGCTGGAAAAAAATAGCAGATCGCTTACAATTACCTCTAAGGCTTGTAATTACCTTAACGAAAAAATCAGAATCATGTCACTCCTCTGGGAATTTATTTTAAAATTCTGGACGACAAATTTGTAGAGCAGGGAGTTGCCATTTTTTAAAAATATACCCTCCAGATTTTGACATTTTTTGAAGGAGGAGATCTCAAGTTTAGGAAGCCTTCAGAAAAATTGAAACTCGTCGAAACTGGCTCAAAAATTCACTGCTATTCCATTAATTAACCAACCGACTACAAATTTGCAGTCCAGCATTTTAAAATAAATTCACAGATTAGAGAAATGATTTTTAAAAATTAACAAAAAACGTTAATTAACAAAGAAAAAACGTGACGAAATTTCCACTCACGAGACACATTGACCTCAAAATGATAGGATTTCTCTTCTTGAAGACGATATTGTCCAAATAATTTGACCCCAGTGGTACCTCGGTCCCTCCGGTGGCGGAAAGTGTCGCCATTATTTATATAGATAATTGGCCCTACGTGTGGTTGCAAATTCAATGCAAATTTTTTGCAATCTTCACTTATTAAGCGTGTCGTATTAGTCGCGATTCTTTTATATGTTTATGTAAATATTCAGTAAATCAATGTCCCCCAAGGTCCCGCAGATAAGCGAATAAATTAAAGTCTAAAAGTACCCCGCAACGTCCCACCTACTTTCTCCTGCAGATAAGTACTTCAGATAAGCTTTGTGCAAATTACCCCAAAGAATAACGTAGTTATTTCCCACCATGTACTTTCTCCTGTGGATAATAACCCAATAATAAATATGATATCGATAGGGCTTTCACCACCAATTTCACCACTTTCACCGCTTTCTCTTCCTCCAACTAACCTTTCGCTCCCCCCAATTAACACAATCTACCCGTGATTACTACTCTCTCATAAAAGGAGCGAGAGACCAGACCAGCCAAGACCCGACCAGTCCTAAATGGATGGATGGATGGGTGAAAGTCAAGTGAAAGCAGCCACCACACCAGAGAGCTTGGTATTGATCTGGGCGAGAATCAACAGGCTTTTTCCACTGCCCAACCAAACCAAACCACTGGCAAAATGATGCCTCACACTGCAAAATCCTATTCCAAGTAAGTGAGCAGAGTAAAGTGGGCCGTGACCAAAAAATGGGGAGAGAAAGTTGAGTTGAGCTCAGGATCGTTCGTTCGTTCCATCATCAATTTACTTTACTTACTTTACTTTCACTCGACAACTTTGAGTGTGAAAACCTCACCTAAAACGAGAGTGAGAGACCAGTATCACTCACTTTACGCGATAGGATAGGATCCTTTATTATATCAGTGGCCGCGGAAGGTGTGGGGACACTTGGGGGATGTTAACATTGTAGGATGGGGGAGCATACCTGTTCAAAAATTTCGTTTTCATTCAAAAGTCAATCATTACGATTTCTGATTGATGATTTTCATTCACGTTTAGTCGTTTTCTTTCAAATTCATTTCACTTCATCGGACTTCATTTATTACTTCGCCCCATGTATTAAGCATAGGGTGAAGAATGAAATGAGTGAGAAATCTTTCATTCACAGTCATTCATCTGAAATGACGGAACCTTTCCATCATTTTCACTCAAATCACAGGAAATTCATTTTCACCCAGTATCATTCACCATCATAATAACTCGAATGAATGAAAGTGAACAGGTATGGTCCCTCTGTCCTCACACTTCCTTCCGCGGCCACTGTTCTTTTGGCATTATTATCACTACGGAACATGTACATTCAGTGGCGGCGGAAGACGTGGGGACGTTTGGGGACATTAACATTGTAGGATGGGTGGAGGGACGGGTTTATATAAGATGGGCAGATGATGCAGACATCGAATAACCGTGGGGACTTTGTCCCTCTGACCGCGGCCACTGTTTTTTATACGGACAGACAGACGTGTCTGCATCTTTTACGTAGATAGGCGACGATCTCCCCATCCTCGAGATGAGAGTGGGTGTTGGGAAGGATCCATATAATAATGCATACGTTCATATGCCTTCATACGAGATATGTACGTATCTTTCGGGGTCAGTATAGGAATTTGTGATGCGATGTGAGATTCCTCCTCATTCGATAAGGACGAGATCAGACCAGGCATGGATGAAATCAAGCCGTCGATGGGTCTCTCGATGCATCTTTTACAGATATATGTAGGACAAAACCTTGGAGTTTTTTTTACTTGGGGAACTTTCTTACAAAAATATTTGCCCGTTTTGCCAACTTATTTAGAATTGAGGTCTCCCAACGTAAGCTCTGTCCGATTTTTAGCAAAATCGATCGCAAATTTGATTAGGATGAAATTTGCGAAATACACGATCTCCCAATGGGCACGTTTGGCCGAGATATTTGCATCCCAAGAGGAGAAAACATGCAGTAAATTTGCAAAGTATAAAACTTGTCGACTTTAGGACACGTTTTCTCCTCTTGGGATGCAAATATCTCTGCCAGACATGCCCATTGGGAGATCGCATCTTTCGCAAATTTCATCCTAACTAAATTTGCGATAGATTCACACTAATTTGGTCAAAATGGAGTAGAATACGCTGGGCGACCTTCATTCTTAGTTAGTAAAACTTTCTCCACTTCTTCATCCATCCATCTCATTAAGTATTTAGTTCGTAATTAATTAATTAATTAATTAATTAATTCGTCTCGCAAGTAAGAGTTCGATGAGAAGTGAATCTCTCGAGATCGTGAGTCTCATTATTTTATGGCCCATTTTCTTTCCCCAATTTGATGTAAAGAGCTTTCTCTCTCTGCTTTCTTTCTTTCTCTTCTTTTTTTTGGCTGGCTGGCAGTCAGTTTCACACAATTCGCAATAAATTGCCTGCTAAGAACTTCTGTCACGAATGCTTTCACCAGCAGACTTTTCTGCTCTGCTCTGCTCCTATTTTTATTTACTTTCTCTTCTCTTCTTCTTTTCGCCATCCTTCACGATCCCATTTTCTGGGATGGAATATGTACGGAGGGTTTCGTTTCTGGTGGGTTTGATAGATAGGTTTCGTGCACTGGAAAGGAACTTATGTGAGAAATGGGAGGTAGGAGAAACTGGGAAAAATAAGCGCTATGTAGTCACGTGCAGTCAAACCTGTTCAAAAATTTAGTTTTCATTCAAAAGTTAGTTATGTCGATTTCTGACGGAAGATTTTCATCCATATTCGGTCATTTTTGTTCAAATTCATTTCATTTCACTTCATCGGACTTCATTTCTTACTTCGCCCATGTATTAAGCATGGGGTAAAAATGAAGAGAGTGAAAAATCCTTTCATTCACGGTCATTCATCTGAAATGACGGAATCCTTCAGTCATTTTCATTCAAATGACAGGAAATTCATTTTCATTCACTATCATAATCATTCAAATGAATGAAGGTGAACAGGCATGTACGAAGTATAGCGGCGGGGTGTAGTTTCATGCACCGTGTATTTCTTGCAGGTCAAAATAGCTGCAAGAGCGCTGCAAAACAAGCCACACAAGAAATTCAAGGTGCAAGAAACTGCAAGAAATGTGAGGTGCAACAAACTGGGAGAAAGTGCATGAAATAAGCGCCATCTAGCCACCCGCCGTATGAAGTATTTAAAACAGCGGGACCTAGTTTTTTGCGCCATGCATTTCTTGCATGTCAAAATATTTCCCTGCAAGAAACCACTTTCTCCCCCTTATTTCTCCCACTTTCACACGGAACACTGGTCATACTTACGCAAGTACACGATCCACCTGGTATTTTAGGTTCACCGAGGCATATAAAACCCTCTCTATTGCCACTTACAAGGGAACATACCGAGGTGTCCAACGAGTTAAGGGTCGACACCTATACCAAAATGACCGCAACACATGACTTGTTAAACAAACTGAAGGAATTTCCGTGTAAAATTCACTTTTTGTCAAGTTGTGACGACATTTGTGACGAGCGCATGACCATCCGGTTGCCAGTGGGAGAGGTCAGCCGCTGAACGATCAGGTCACAGAGAAGCGTCGTCGTCATCAGAGATTTCAAATTCTTTCAAATTTTGAAAAAAATTTGAAATTTCTTCAAAATTTCAAAAATTTCTTCAAAATTTCAAAATTTTCTCAAAATTTCAAAATTTTCTCAAAATTTCAAAATTTTCTCAAAATTTTAACATTTTCTCAAAATTTCAAAATTTTCTCAAAATTTCAACATTTTCTCAAAATTTCAAAATTTTCTCAAAATGTTTTCAAAATTTCAAGATGTTTTCAAAATTTGAAAGAATTTGAAATCTCTGATGACGACGACGCTTCTCTGTTCTCTTCTCTTCGACCTGATCGTTCAGCGGCCGACCTCTCCCACTGGCAACCGGATGGTCATGCGCTCGTCACAAATGTCGTCACAACTTGACGAAAAGTGAATTTTACACGGAAATTCCTTCAGTTTGTTCAACAAGTCATGTATTGTGGTCATTTTGGTATAGGTGTCGACCCTTAACTCGTTGGACACCTCGGTATGTTCCCTTGTTAGAGCTCGTGTTTGATCTATCGACGTCGACGATGTATTGCTACTGCCTCGTCGAATTTAGTACTTGATTCCATTCTTCTTCTTCTTCCGATTTTATTTTATTGAGGGAACGGCATCATTCAGGACAATAGGTGATTTCTAAGCGGAATCGATTCGGGAATAATAATGTAATGTAATGTAGCTACAAGAGCATGATGATATTATTCTGACGGGGCAAATGTAAGATTTTTTATTTATAGAGTGAAAGTAAGTGAAAGGTGCGTATTTCCGTCTTTATTGGGTGTTCAACAAGTGAGGAATATCAGGAATGTAAAATGGTGGAGAAAATGCAATTTTTTATGTAGCATGGCATATTTTTTGCAGTATGATTTTTTTAAATGAACGTATTACAGATTTTTTTAATGGAGATACTTTCACTCTCGCCTCTTTTTCGTATGTATTTGATCATGCTGAGCTCATTTCTCGGCGGAATTGTGATGCGATCGATGATTCGGGAATAATAATGCAGTTTAATGTAGCGAGGAGAGCATGAAATTATTTTGACGGGGCAAATGTGAGATTTTTTATTTATAGAGTAAAAGGTGAGTAAGCATTTCCGCGTGGTCTGTATAGATGTTCAACAAGTGAGGAATAATAGGTTGGTAAAATGTAATGGAGAAAATGCAATTTTTCTATGATCTGCGTATTTTTTGCAATATTTATTACTTTTGGGATAGATTTATCACGTAAGAATGTTTAAAACTGGACATTACATATTTGGAAAGTAAATATTTTCATGCATCTGTTTTAGTATTATTAGTAAAATGAAAATAAGGAAAAACAATTGTGCGAAATCAACCAACAACAATTTTTCTATACTTTACAAACTACAGGCAATTTGTAAACAAAATTTTAAATCTAGCCGAGCCAAACCCACCAGAAATCTATTTTACGACATTTTGTTAACGACAAATTGAAAAAATTATTGTGCTCGACACGGATATTTGTCTAATTTTTTATAGTAGTTTTGCAAAAAAATATTTTTCATATATTTTCAAAAACTCGATCAAAATTTCCACTATGAATCTGTTTCAGCACTATTAGTAAATGACAAATTGGAAATAAATTTTCTCCATGGCGTAGTCAACCAATTTCTCGCAAATTATTTTTTCGCAACGTTTCGCACATAAAATGCAAAATATATGCATGCACATAGACCAAACACACACGCAAAAATGAAGAATATAGCTTGCAAAACCTGTCTTTTTCATCAAAGTACGTACCTTATTGAACTCACGGATTAATAATGAATACACAAATCAAATATCATATCAGTATTTATCCGAGTATAAGGTGACCAATTATGCTTGGCTGTTCAACAAATGAGGACGGTAAAATAATGGAGAAAGTGCAATTTTTTATGCGCATTTTTTGCAATATTTACGACTTTTTGGGTAGAATTATTAGTTACTTTAATGAATCTATTAGTAAAATGAAAATAAGTGAAAACAAAATTTGAGTGCGAAATCAACCAATTTTTTACAAATAATTTGTTCCCAACATTTTCACGAAATTTTTGCTATAATCCAAAAACTTCAGAAAACTTGGGAACAAAGAGACA